CAATACCGCATACTTTTGTGGACTTGAAAAAAGACGACAGGAGAGGAATTTAATTAATTCACTTATCATCAACAATGTAGAATGCACGGATACCAAAATTATTGCTGAAGAAGTTTATACATTTTATAAAGACCTCTATTCATCATCTAGTGGCAATGAATCAAACCTATTGGATAATATTACACATCTCATCCCAAAAATCAGTCAGGAATTTAAAATGATATGTGATGCAGAGATTGAGATTTTTGAAGTAGAGGCAGCAGTCAAACAACTTTCCGTTGGGAAATCCCCTGGTCAAGATGGTCTGACATCTGACTTTTATAAACATTTTTGGAATAATATTAAAGATCAAACAAGGACTCATCTCTTTGATTCTGAAGAATGGCAAAGATAAAAAAAATTCTAAGCAATCTAAGACCAATTACGCTCCTTAATGTGGACTACAAAATACTCGCTCATGTTGTGGCTAATAGGCTCAAAGAAGGTATTTTGCAAATCATCAGCGATTCCCAATCTGGGTTTATCAGGGGTCGCTCCATACATAACAACATTAGGTTGGTCCTAGATTTGTTAGATTACAGGGACACAATTGAGAATGATGGCTTTGTTCTTTTTTTGGATTTCTGCAAAGCCTTTGACCGAGTCAACCATTCCTTCATGTTAGACACGTTACACCATTTTGGCTTTGGAACAAAGTTGTGTGAAATTGTTCAAACCTTATACAGGGATATTAATAGTACTGTACTGTTGCCATCTGGAACCTGCAAACGTTTTAACATTGAAAGAGGCATCCGACGGGTGTCCAGCCTCCCCTCTTCTTTTTATCATGGTCGTGGAAATTCTCAGCATCATGATTAAGAATAGTCAGATAGAGAAATTAGATGTTTTTGGTAATTCGTTAGCTATAATTCAACTGGCAGACGATACTACGCTCTTCCTTAAAAATAAGGAACAGATCCCAATTGCTTTACAAGTAGTTAGTTGTTTTTCAGAAGCCTCAGACCTTTATTTAAACATAGATAAATGTGAATTAATGGCCATTCATGATCATCCTCAAACAACTCTGCATGGCATACCTGTTAAAGATCAAGTCAAGTATTTGGGCATTACAATCTCAAAAAACTTAGAAACGAGAGAAAAATGTAATTTTGAGAGCTTAATTAAAAAGAGTAAAAGTATTTTAAACATATGGCTACAAAGAGATCTCTCAATTTTTGGTAGATTACTTCTATCCAAGATGGAAGGATTGTCAAGAATTATCTATCCGGCTTATTCTCTAAGAATTCCTCAAAATATTATTAAAGAAATTAACCAAAACAATTTTAACTTTATATGGAAAAACAGACATCATTATATAAGAAGGAATGACATCATCAAATCAATAGCGGAAGGGGGTCTCAATGCAATCGATTTTGATATAATGAATGGTGCACTTAAGTTAAAATGGCTACAAAATTTTATAAAGAATATAAATATGTTGTGGTTTAATCTTCCTGCTAAAATTTTCTCCAGTGTAGGCGGAATCCTATTGCTTCTTCAATGTGACTTTGAATTATCCAAACTCCCAATTAAGTTATCCAAATTTCACGAGCAAGTTCTACAATATTGGAAATTAATGTATACACATAACTTCACACCGCACAACACGCCAATATGGAACAACCGTTATATCCTGATTAAAAGGAAATCTTTTTTTTTTTAATGATTGACATCTCCATGGAGTATGGTCCATTTTGCATTTGATGGACCAGAATGGAGAATTTCTTAATTTTACGGCTTTCAATCGCAAATTTAACCTAACTTGTTCTTCTAAGCAATATGCCGAGGTAATCAAGGCAATCCCACCAGCTATATATGCTAATTCGAAAGGCACTTTGTTGTACTCTCGCCTTATTCCAATAATGCCTCCTTTAACAATTAAGAACTGTTCTTTTGTGGACAGGAACTGCAATAATAAAATCCTTAGATGTTGGCTCACTGACGTCCTCTTTCCCTTACCTCTTAGAAGACAGGAATTAGTACGTCAATTTAGTAATTCTGATGTTAAAAACATTAGATGCAACTATCTCAAATTCTCAATCCCTCCTAAAGCCAAGGAAGTTCATTTTAAAACTATAAACAGTATTTATCCTTGCAAAGATTTCTTGCAGTCTAAATTTAATATTGGAGAGAACGACTGTGCCTTTTGCACTTCTAATATAGAAACTGAGATACATTTATTCTTCACATGCATCTTTACCAAATGTTTCTGGGATAGTTTTCACTCGTGGTTAACGCATAACAATTTCATTATACGCTCCTTATCTTTTTCTGACATCAAGTATGGTATTATTTTGGAAAATAAAATGCAGCAATTCACTGTCAATGATTTGATTATTTTCGCTAAATTCTTAATACACAAATGTAAATTTGGCAATATCAAACCGATCTTTATTGTTGTTTTGAAAGAACTTGCATACTTTATGGATTCTCTTAAATTATGTAGTTCCAAGAAAGCCATTTGGCTCTATAACAATTTGGTGAATGTTTCCTTTAACCCTAATGTTATTTGATGTAATATATAATTTTTTTTGGTTATGATTTCTGCAGGTTGATATTGAGCTAGGTTAATATTATTGTTTCTGTTTGTACACCTGCTTTTTTTTTTGTCATGCTCAGAATTCAACTGTAAATACTGATTCTTATGTAAGCCTGTAAGCTTCATTGGTTAAATAAAACTTGTTTAAAAAAAGTTTATATTTAACTATATTTAAACAGCTTGTTTCCTGGTTTAATATCGAGTCCAATTACGGAAAGAACAGCGAAAGTAATCAGCAAGGTCTAAAAAAAACAAGTAGAAAAATATTTATTTGTTGTGTTCAAAAAGCTTTTGGTTTTTATTAAGTTTTGAAATCGCTAATTGTAAAATATGTAAACTACCATATGTATTTACATCTTAAAGATTAACAGAAATATATTTGATCGTTTTCCACTGTTTTTACAATTTTTTTTTATCAGCTCCAACAAATTGAAACAAGGAGCTGTGCCGCTGAATGTCCACCAGATGGCGCCTTTTCACCGTCTAGTAAAGAAAAGCAGACCCTTTCAGCCAGTGGAGACATAAAAATCCCTTCAGGACAATGAAGAGCAGTAGAAACTAATGTCGAGGAAAAAGCTAAAGCTAGCTTCTGTGTGACGAAGATGAGTCTAACACTCTAGGCTCGTGATTTAAGACTTGTTTGGGTAACTTAAAACTAGTAAACTATAAACATTAAAGTAAAATATAAACAATAAAAAATGGTCGTAAAGGTAACAGACGCCCTCTAGCGGACAACTGAATATTACATAAACAACAAAAAAACTGTCATGGCGGCTACCGCCAGGCTGACTGGTCACCGGTTAGTTTATATTTAACTACTTTATTTAAACAGCTTGTTTCATGGTTTAATATCGAGTCCAATTACGGAAAAAACAGCGAAAGTAATCAACAAGGTCTAAAAAAAACAAGTAGAAAAATATTATTTGTTGTGTTCAAAAAGCTTTTGGTTTTTATTACGTTTTGAAATCGCTAATTGTAAAATATGTAAACTACCATATGTATTTACATCTTAAAGATTAACAGAAATATATTTGATCGTTTTCCACTGTTTTTACAATTTATTTATTTATCAGCTCCAACAAATTGAAACGAGGAGGAGCAGTGCCGCTGGATGTCCACCAGATGGCGCCTTTTCACCGTCTAGTAAAGGTAAGCAGACCCTTTCAGCCAGTGGAGACATAAAAATCCCTTCAGGACAATGAAGAGCAGTAGAAACTAATGTCGAGGAAAAAGCTAAAGCTAGCTTCTGTGTGATGAAGGTGAGTTTAACACTCTAGGCTCGTGATTTAAGACTTGTTTGGGTAACTTAAAACTAGTAAACTATAAACATTAAAGTAAAAAATAAACAATAAAAAATTGTCGTAAAGGTAACAGACGCCCTCTAGCGGACAACTGAATATTACATAAACAACAAAAAACTGTCATGGCGGCTACCGCCAGGCTGACTCTGGTCACCGGTTAGTTTATATTTAACTACTTTATTTAAACAGCTTGTTTCATTGTTTAATATCGAGTCCAATTACGGAAAAAACAGCGAAAGTAATCAACAAGGTCTAAAAAAACCAAGTAGAAAAATATTAGTTTTTTTTGTTGTGTTCAAAAAACTTTTGGTTTTTATTAAGTTTTGAAATCGCTAATTGTAAAATATGTAAACTACCATATGTATTTACATCTTAAAGATTAACAGAAATATATTTGATCGTTTTCCACTGTTTTTATAATTTTTTTTATTTATCAGCTCCGACAAATTGAAACGAGGAGCAGTGCCGCGGATGTCCACCAGATGGCGCCGGGTAGAAACTAATGTTGAGGAAAAAGCTAAAGCTAGCTTCTGTGTGATGGTGAGTCTAACACTCTAGGCTCATGGAAATTACACATTACAAATTCTTTAAAGTACATTTTCTTAAATTGACCCAAATTTAGTCAGAAGTTTTGATAAACTCAAATAGCAACACTTAAAATTTTATCACTTCCACATTAAGTGTTAATAAAAACAAGAGTCAAGCAGCTCTTTTTAAAAAGATGATATATTACAGAAACACGATTTTAAAATTACTTACAGACGTAAAATACTTTTTTCTTCAGCACCATGTTTGTGTTGAAATGTCTTCAACACAATGAAAACAAATAGTTGAGGTCATTTTCTTTAAGGGACAGATTCTTTATGTTCTGACTGTCCCACCAGTTAATTATATAAAAAATTAAAACAAATAAAACTAAAACGGCCCCGTAGAACCAGAAATCACTTTTCACTCAGTCCCTGCTGACGGATGTTCATCTCCACCGTGTCACTGCCCTTCTCTCACCCTCACTCCTCTCTAAATATTAAAATAATTAAGATTTTATTTAATAAATGTAGTTCGGTTTCACTAAACACAGGAACAAACCTGTCGAGTCAAACTGCAGCAAGAAAACAGGAATGTGAGAAGTGGAGTCACCGTTTAATCATGGCAGTGGAAACAGCACAGTACAGATGAAACTAGATAAGGGAGGGATTACAGTTTTAGTCACGGCCAGATTCTTTGGTTGGTGGAGGTGTGAACAGAAGCATCACAGCTGTGCAGTCGAGCTGCATCAAATAAATACAACTGAAAGTCACGTCTGCTAGAAATAATCCTCGGTTCTTATTTTAATCTCAAAGCACCCAGTTGGTTTTAAATAAATACAATAGAATATCACTATTTCTGTACAAATGTAATGCACATTTCCCTAGAAGAGACTAAAATGGAGGACTTTATTTTATAGAATTAGCACCTTTCCACAGTTTCACTCAGTAACGTGTGCATTTTTATTCTCTGCTGCAGGAACAGAAAACACCGGGTCTGGATCAGCACCGGAATACTGAAGTGGTGTCTGGAGGCCACTCAGGTACGTGATGGCTTTAGTCTCGCTTCACCGTCTCTCTGGTCTCACTAACCTTTAAAAAGCACCACATATATATATTCTAATGATCCGTTTGAGCTCTGAGGCACACTGTTAGATAATAAAGCTTTTAGAGCAGAAAGACGACTCCGATCAGAGCCTGATGGTGGCATGTGGTCCGTTCCTTGCTTGCTTTATTAGAAGTGACAGGATGTGACGTAACCGATGCTTAGATTAGGACAAATCTGGCTTTAGAAGAATAGATTCGGGTGTGAAACTGTTGGTCCTGTTGCTGCATGTGGGAATTACAGAAGTAGGATAACGTCTGATCGTGGACCTTTTCTTAAAGAGGAGGGGAGGTGGAGCAGGAAGTGGATGAAGGTGTCAGCAGGGAGGAGTAAGCCTGGGTCCAGGCCCGTTGAAGAACACTGTTTGATTCCCAGGAATGTCGTTCTTCCTGTTTATTTTCCTCCCAGTCGATGTTTCCTCTGTTTGGTCCATGTTTTGCTGGGAGGGCTCCAGAGGCACGTAGGCGAGTGTGTGTGTGTGTTTATATCATTTACAAGTTAATTTACAAATTACTGGGCCTGTATGTTTATCGTGTGTGTGTGTGTGTGTGTGTGAGTGTTCAGCCTTGGAAACAGACAGGTCCAACTTCAAACCCAAACTGCTGGTTGCTCTCCCCAAAGTCTGACACCTTGATGTCCAGCAGAGGGAGGTGCTCCACCTGAGGCGTGTTGATCTCCAGGACCGTCCTGTCGAAGCCTTTCCGGTACTGTGGAGAGAGACGGGGACACGCGTCAGATTTCCAGGTGAACCCACCCAGAACACACACTCAGAATCAGCTGTGAACTCACGGAGCAGCCATCCACCAAGGCTTTGATGTAAGGGCTGGTCTCGTAGCTCAGCTCTTCCTCGTTGGCGCCTCTGAAGTGCAGCGCCCTCTTGTGGTTGTTCTTGGCGCTTCGGTCGGCCCAGGCCACGGAGCGGTGGCAGTGGTAGGTAAGGTTCTGACGGGCCTGTACGCTCAGGAGGCGCAGGAAGCCCAGCTGGACCACGCCCACGGGCTCGCCGTTCAAATCCACGTAGGAGAACTGAGATCAGGAAGTAAACGAGTGAAGGTCATGGCGGCGGCCATTTTTAACCTCTCCGAGTGTTACTGACCTTGCTACCAGTGGTGAACTGACTGTACCACGACCCTGGAGTCTCTTTGTCCCAGGAGCTCATCTTCACCTGCAGTCAGAAAGGTTCCCGTGGCATCAGTTAAACCAGTTTAGTTTGATGTTTCTATGATGATTTAGGTCTGACTGACCGTGTCGACGTCTCTGGGGTACAGACACGTCTCTCCTTTAGTGAAATTACAGAAGACCTTGAAGGAGTCTCTGGAGCAGCCTTGGTTTGGGTCAATCCAGTACTCTCCTGCAGAAAGGTGAGAAGTTACAGAAGCTCTGGTGGTGTTGGTGGCTTTTACTCTAAAGGAAACCGAAAACAACCCGAATAAGCAGCATGTGATCCTCTCACCATCCTGGAGGTCCGGCTGGCTAAGCTGCAGGTCCTGGCAGGTGCGAGCCGGACTGTCCTGAGTCCCCAGAGGGAAACGCATCGTCTCGATCTCCTGCCTTAGCGAGTTCAGGGATCCGAAGATCTCCTCCATGCCTTCACTGCCCATCAGGAACTCCGTACCAGCGGTGTCGGAGGCTGGCGCGTCGGGGTCGAACTCAGGCAGCAGCTGGCTGGCATCGATGGAGCGTTTAGTCTTGGGACTCCTCAGAATGGGCAGAGGCTGAATGGCCTCGCCTGGGGGACCCTGGCACAGAAGAATCTAATTTAACTCCGATTTTTATGAAGTATTTAAACAAGTATTAAACTTACAGGAGGCCCAGGAGGTCCTTGCACACCCTTCTCTCCCTTTGGACCTGCTCCTCCCTAAAGCAGAAAGATTTTAGAATCAGCCATTTAAACATTTTGTTAACACGCCTCAACTAAAGCCGTGCAAACACCAACTCACACTGGAGCCCTTTGCTCCTTTGACACCTTGCGGACCCTGAAAAACAGAGCAGACGTCAGTTTTCCAACAATGACAAGAAGATCTGAATAAGATGGTAAAAAACTCACAGGAAGCCCAGGAGGACCAGCAGGACCCAGAGGTCCAGTACCTCCAGCCATGCCCTGTAGGGAGACACGTTTTATAATAAATGATAACCGGCGTGGAGCTGCTGCTCATGACGTTAACTCACAGGTTCTCCTTTAGGTCCGGTGGATCCATGAGGCCCAGGCATGCCCCGGTCTCCTTTCTCTCCCTGCTCTCCTGAAGGTCCGATCAGACCGATGAGACCCTGGTGACCCTTCTCACCCTTTGCACCAGGATCTCCACGCAGGCCAGGTAGACCGGGAGGTCCCTGCAGCACATCAGAGGAGGAGGTGAGGAAAAGGTAAACTCACATTTAACCAACCAGCTTTAGTGAATAGTGATGATGTCATTGACTTACGATAGGTCCAGGTGGGCCCGTCTGTCCAGCAGATCCTGGAGATCCTTGCTCTCCCTGAAACATCAAACAGGATCAGCTGCTGGATTCTAACTAAATGCAAACGCTGCCGATTCTGATTCCCAGGAAAACCCACCACTGATCCTGGAAGTCCTCTGAGACCTTCTGTTCCCGGTTTTCCCGGCTGACCCTGAGGACCAACGGGGCCGGTCTTCCCTGGGGGCCCGACGGCACCTGGATCCCCCTAAAGGTGACGAGAACCATCAGCGTGTTAATTTTCTACTTCTGCATGAGAAACTCTGTAGGCTTAAAGTGCGTTTTATGTTGTAATCCAGGTCCTCCGCTACCCAGCATGTTTTAGTTGTTTCTCTGCTCCAACATCTGATTTTAGTCAGCAGGGAAACACCTGAAACACGCTGGTTAGCAGACCTCCAGGAGCAGGAATAGCCATCACTGCTTTGGAGGCTGATCTGAATCTAAATGTGCTGAAATGTATATTTTTATTTTGACATGTTAAGAGTTTGAGTAATAAAATCACAAAATTAATGTAATTTATTAATTTGACTGAAGCTTAGAACAATGAAGCTGTTTAAACAAAGCTCATAATTCCCAGCTTTACTTTTGTAAATGTAAAATTACTATTTTTATGGATGGAAATGATTTACTTAACAGGACCAGGAGACTTGTCCTCTTTAACTCATTCACTGCATGTCTTTACTGTGTGGGCGTCGGACGAGCCCCCGCTCCGTGAGAACAAACATCTCAGCTCTAAAGCCGATCTTCATCCGCGTACGTCACACGTCACGTGATCAGGAAGCAGAACATCCATGCGTTAGATCGTTTTGGGCCGCTGCTGTAAAAAAAAGTGAGGCACGAACCGGAAAAGCTTCTGCCGATCACAATTCAACAACGGATCATGAAAGAACGGATAACGCTCGAAACGCGCGGATTCTTCCTGATGTAAGAGGCGACTCTCCGCTTTGTTTTGATAGCTTTGGCGTTGACATCATCCTAGCGCGCAAAGTCCTGTGACTCTTAAAAAAACGGTGAGAAACGCTGGCAGCGAATGAGTTAAGGGTTTTCTAGTGTTTAAATCTGCATGTTGATCATCTGTAAAAACGACTCACTTTGGTTCCCTTCTCTCCTTGTCGGCCCTCCGGTCCTCTGGTCCCAGCAGGTCCCTGATGAATAAAATAGTTTAGGAATTATTTATCTATCGGATGCTTATTTAAAAGCGATAGGCGGATCCATCCATCTGGGCTATCAAACTTTACCCTTTTTCCTGGAGGACCAGGTGGTCCGTTCTCACCGGGAGGTCCTGGAGAACCCTGTAACAGGAAATGGATCCATGAGATTTAGGGGACAAACCGTGTTTGATGTTCCTGTTGCATCATTTTACTCACCGACTCTCCTGCTTCACCGTCCTCTCCTCTCTCTCCTTTGGCGCCATCTTGACCCTGAAGTCAAAGCCGATCAGGATTAGGAGATGTTCGGTGGTGCAGAAGATGGTCTGTAAAACTAAAGACACTTACTCTGGGTCCAACCTCACCAGGAGCACCAGGATCTCCAGGGGAACCAACTGGGCCCTGAAATTACAGAACCAGTCACGATAAGTGACAGGTCTGGGTGTCTGGATGGTAGAAGAACTGCTTCACTGCGTCTTACTGGGTTTCCTTTGGGTCCATCATCTCCAGGTCGTCCTCGTCCTCCAGCAGGTCCAGCAGTTCCAGGTTGTCCAGCTTCTCCCTTCTCTCCGCGTTCTCCACGAAGACCCTGACAACGAGAACACGGCTGTTAGCTAACCGGTCAGCGGGGCATCAGAAGACTTTGGCTCACTCAGGTACTCACCTTCTTTCCTGGTTCTCCAACAACTCCAGGTGCTCCCGCCTCACCAGGCTCTCCCTGTGGAGCAAACACTGAATGTCTTATAGCAGCTATTTTATGAGAGACCATTAAAGTCATGCAGGAAAATCCTCCAATGCTGCACCTTCTCTCCAAGAGGTCCAGGATTACCCAAACCACCAGGAGGACCTTGAGGTCCCTGAAACGCAATCATGAAACAAATGTAATGAGAGACAAAATTCCTACTAACAGACCTGACTTGGTAAAAATTACAGAAGCAACTAGAAGAGCTCCAAGCACTCACGTCGGCTCCGTTGGGTCCAGCAGGTCCGCGGGGTCCCGGAGGTCCAGGAGGACCCTGGAGACATAAAAAAGTTTTATTGCTGTAGAAGAAAGAAGCCACATCTCCAGTTGTTTTAAGCTCACCAATGGCCCAACGTCTCCAGTCTCTCCCTTCTCACCCGATGGTCCAGGCAGGCCCTGTAGACCAGAAGAAGTTTAACCAAAAACTGGTTAGCAGCTTAGCTCAGGAACCTAAACACGAGCGACTCCAACAGAAAACTGTTTATTGGTTTTTCTTCTTTCACCTGAAGTCCGATAGGTCCTGGAGCTCCCGGGAATCCTCGAGTTCCTTCGTCACCTTTAGCTCCAAAAGGTCCCTGCTGCCCCCTTGGTCCCAGCTCTCCATCTGCCCCCTGCCCCACAGAGGAGATAAGAAATGGTATGCAGCCCACATCCAAGCACCAAATCAGCATTTTGATCTGTTTCTACTCACAGCAGGACCGGGTTGGCCAACTGGACCGTTTGGGCCAGGTGGACCAGGAGGACCCTAACATGAGAACACACATTTTAGCTTTAAAACATGAATATTATTATTAATAATAATACGACACACGAGGGCTTCACTAAGTCACTCACATGCTCTCCTTTCCCCCCCTTGGCTCCCTTCTGACCGTGTTCTCCAACTTCACCCTGAAGACACGTTTTATCAAAGTTTGAGCACATACGACTATTATTGGTCAGGATAATAGATGCACGTTCATTTAGAATATTTAATGAGGAATATTAGAGGAGGTTCTTTTTGCTTCGGACATGAAGGTGTTTCTAGTTTCGACCGTCGTCTGCGGTCTTCTTCAGAAGTCTCACAGATGTTTGTGTGACGCGTCTTTATCAGCTGTTCTTCCGGTGGGCGTGGCCAACCCGGAGCGGGCTGGTCTTTGGAGAAGGGAATCCCAGGTGCAAGACAGCTGATAGGCTCCCTCGTCTCTGTTCATGCTCCCGTTTCCTTATTTCTATTGCCTCCCTGACCCAACGTTTGAACCGGTTGTTCTCGGTGTTGATAATTTTCCCTTGATCCCAGTCCATGATGTGATTATTTCGTTTGCAACGATCTGACATGGCTGACTTGAGGGTTTGCTCCTCTGCTTTTTTTTTGTTGTCCTTGTGAGGCAACAGAAATAAGGAAACGGGGCCTATCAGCTGTCTCGCACCTGGGATTCCCTTCTCCAAAGACCAGCCAGCGGAGGTGGGCGTGACCGACCCGGCGGATCTGACAGATCCGGGTTGGCCACGCCCACCGGAAGAACAGCTGATAGACGAGTCACACAAACACCTGTGACACTTCTGAAGAAGACCGCAGACGACGGTCGAAACATGTAAAGGTAACTAGAAACACCTTCATGTCCGAAGCAAAAGGAACCTCGTTTAATATTTAAAAAGAGGACATAATGAACATTGTAAAGGATTTAATAATAAATATCTATAATTAGGATCTAAAATGTCCCATAACTAAAATAATGTAGAAGTCGGTTTTGTGTCGACTGTGACTAAAGTCTTGGGACGGTCATGTGGAGTTACTCACCTTATCTCCATCCTCTCCAGGTACTCCGGGTGATCCAGCAGGGCCGGGCAGACCCACTGGACCCTGGACTCCATCTCGCCCTGCTGGGCCAATGGGGCCTTTCTCGCCCTGTAAAGGAGAACGTCTGAAGTTATTCTGTCTTTAGCTCGCCACGCCGAGTTAAAGGATATATTTTAGGTTTGTGTTACTGATAAAAACGTCCTGATAACTCACTGGAACGCCCTTCTCTCCAGCTTGTCCTGGTGGTCCTTGAGGACCTGGTCTGCCAGGAGGTCCCACAGGTCCAGCGGTTCCAGCAGAACCTCTCTCACCAGGAGAACCCTAGAAAGTACACATGTTGGTACACTTAACAGTGAGCGAGTACTTCTACCTTTGATTGGGTCTTCTGACATCAACATCAGCCTGACTGACAGAAACGACCTTAACCCTCAGGCTTCACTTTAACTTTCATACAAAAGAGTCATTAGAGGGCAAAAACGTCCGCTTGTAAGGGTTTTTAGCTTTCTCGCCTGGGCAACGTATGGAGAAATGACAGAATTTGGTGGTGAACAGTAAAAATCATAAATTTGACTACTTTTGTCCAAAATGAAACCATAACATCACAGAAAGCATGATTACTTGCTGCAGATGATGCAGGATCAAAAACTGTGGTTTGCATTGAAGTCAATGGGACGTTTTTGCCTCTAATGGCTCGAGTGTATAGTGGATTTTAAATCTGTTGCTATGTAAAAACTATAAATGCAAAAAATTCAAAATTTTAGATATTTCATAACATAATCAAGACTGATTGGAACTAAACACCCCAGGCAAAAAAAAAAATGTCTTTTTTAGAAAATAACTCAGTTTTAGTGTTTTTTTCTTCTTCATAAATTACATCAATGACTGAGTATTTAAACTGGCATTTCAAGGGTTAAAAGCCTCAAAATGACTGAATTTTTTCATGTTTGAGCAGGGCTGAAGTTGTTCAACAGATGTGTGAAAAAAAAGTAATTTTTTTTAATAGCCACTATTACAAGCAGCTGTTTTTCTCCTCTAAAGTCTCAAGTGTTTCTTTCATAGTGTTCCCTTGGTCTATTTTAAAAATTCCAAATTTGTCCAGAGAGCGGTTTTGCGACAACATTTTTTACCGTATGCACAAACGGTGGTGAAATGGTGTCAAAACGAAAAACAAAAAACTGCCCAAATGGACAAAAAAGTCCCTAACGAAGCCTGAGGGTTAAGTTTCATAAGATTGTTCAAAACATACAGCAGGTCCAGGAGGTCCAGCAGGTCCTTCGCTTCCCTTCAGTCCTCCACCACCCTGGAAGGAAACATCAAAAGATCTCATCACGGTTTCACCTGAGCTCCACTAAACCCTCTAGAGAAACATAAAGCATCAAACTCTGATGGTCTGAACTCGTTTCACTCACAGGGGTTCCAGGAAGTCCTCTCTCTCCAGGGAATCCTCTCAGACCAGGAGGCCCATCTTTACCAGGGCCTCCTGGAGGTCCGGGGTCTCCCTTGGTGCCCTCTTTTCCTGACGGACCAGAAAGTCCCTGCTCTCCTGGAGGACCTGGAGGTCCAGGGTGCCCACGCTCACCCATGGGGCCCGTTTCACCGGATGGACCCTAGGAGGATGGAGGGAAAAAAAGACTATGACTGCGTTGTTGCAAAAGCTGTGAAATGATGGAACCGGATGGATTAACCCACCTGAGGTCCTACAACTCCCGGAGGCCCAGGTGGACCCACTTTACCTTGGAACCCCTGTAGAAGAAGACTTGGTGAACCTAAAGATGCAGCAGAACACCTTTAACTAAGTTTATCTACAAACTTACGACTTCTCCTCTCTGTCCAGGCAGTCCGTCCTTTTCTGGTGGTCCCTGTGAAGTATTAGTTTACCTTAATTCCCCAAAAACTTCAGCTCCCATTTCAAAACAATAACCTAAAAGTGTTCAGCAGCAAAAAGCAGAAACCAGACTTACTGGAGGTCCCTTTGGTCCGGGGAAGCCGTTGGCTCCTTGAGGTCCGGGTAATCCCTGATCAGACCACGACATCGTATAAAATTAGAACATAAATTATAACCTAATTAAATCGTTTCATGATTTCCTGTAGCAGCAAATAAGAACTCACCCTCTCTCCAGGAGGACCAGGAGGGCCGTCACTTCCAGACGTTCCCTATGAGGAAATATAATATTTTAGGTCTGTTTGACACACAAAAATACTTTTAGATTATTGTATAAATAAGAAATTATTCATATGAAGATTTGATAAAAGGGAAAAGCGTACATTTGGAGAACGTTGCTAAGCCTGGGTGTTTCGATGTTTAGACAAACCTTTGCTCCTAGTTTTCCTGTTGATCCCCTCGGTCCTCTCTGCCCTCGAGGACCCTGGTGATCACAGACAAGAGTTAAAATAGATTTCCTGATCCAGAAAAAAATTTTATAAATGCAACCAAATTAACACATTAAACCATGATGTGCTACTACTAGTTTACCCGTTTAATTATAGATTCACTAGGAGAAATACAATAAAGTTTATCTCTCACCAAATAGAATATTTACTAAGAAATCACAATGTAACCATTGTGTGTGTGTGTCTTCTCGATCCCCAGTGAGTCGTGGAGGATGGCTGCTTACACTGAGCCAGGATTCTCTGGAGGTTTCTTCCTGTTTAAAAGGAGTTTTCCTCTCCACTGTCGTTGCATGCTTGCTTAGTATGAGGATTGCTGTAAAGACTCTGACACTCGTCAGTGACTTGATGCAACCTGCTGGGTTCCTCATATAGGAAACTTTTTTCTGATTGGCTTAATGAACTGACCTGGATTGGAATGTTTACTGTGTGAAGGTCCTTGAGACGACTCTGGTCGTGATTTGGCGCTTTATAAATAAACTTGAATTGAATCATTATAAGCACAGTGCAACACCACCTAAACTGTTACTGACCAAAGGTAGTCTCTGCTGACCCCCAGTGGCTATAATTGTAACTGCACTGGTGCTAAATGATGTCGACACAAATCAGCTTCTGTTTAGTTCCTCTGGTCTGACTAGGAGCTCTGAGTAAATGAGAACTTTACCGTTGGTCCTCTTTGTCCTCTTGGTCCTTGTTTTCCAGAAACACCCTGATTTAAAAAAGAAAACAAGTTATAAACTAATAAAGCACGACTACGTCTGGGTAAAATCATCACTAGTTTTAATGTTTCAGGAAGGTAACTCCTGCTTTGATAACAAGTATAACAGCTCACCCGCGTTCCCTTCTCTCCATTAGAACCAGGAAATCCAGGGAATCCAAGAGATCCCTAAAAACAAAAATCTTTATATCAGTAATTATAGAAACATTAACTAACTTCTGATGTACAAGTGTTTATTTACCTTGGGTCCTTGTCTTCCAGGGTATCCAGGAAGTCCAGGTACACCAAGTTTACCCTGGAAAAATGTCGACGATGTCATAAAATGCACAAAAAGTTTATTAGCGGGTTTCAGGTAAATGTTTAGGTAGAAAAGGAGACAAGCAGCTAGTTTTATTCTCAGATGCTGTAGTTGAGTTATTGTGTCCTGCAGTAAATTTAGAGGAAACATGTTTAGTTTAATAAAGCTAAAATAAACATTTAGAACAGGGGTGGGCGACATATTATCTTATTTTCCACATCTGTTGATACTGATATACATCACCATATAAAACTAATCAATATTTATCAACCTTTAATGTTCCTGTTTAACCTGTTAAACCCTAACACCCCCCAACTGGGGGCCTCTACAGTTTCATGTCCCAGACATCTACAACTGTCCACATTCTCCAAACAACTACAACCACAATCAAACAGCTCAGATGGGAAACAAGGCCATTTTAAATTGTAATAAATTAAGAAACAATGATGTTTGAACTTTATTTTAGAAGAGCATCTGGCCTTCTCTGGTCTCTGCTGGAGAAAAAAAACCTTGAACAAATGTAGTTGAGGATCCCTGGAATAAATAAAACAATTGACTAAATTTCCTAAATGGAATTTGAACTCACAACCTCCATCCTGTCAGCACTTTCACACAGGGCAGCTCTTCTAAAATAAAGTTCAAGTATTATTTTATCTTAATGTGTCAAAAACCAAAAAGAGCTTTGTTTACAATCTAAACTGTTTTGATTGTAGCTGTGCTCGGGTAATGCAAACAACCACTGACACTTGGGACATGAAACTCTAAAGGCCCCTGATTGGGAGGCGCCAGGGCCCAAAGAAAAAAGGCCTAGGGCCTAAAGTTATTTTTGATTTCAAGCTGCAGCGCGCACGTGTGGTCGTTAGAGGAACTGCAGTCAGCACAACGCACGCCCATGACATTAAACCAGAAGTCCTATATTATGTGACATCCTCTTTTAAAACTAATTAAAATGCCACAAAGTAAAAAATGTCACCCCTTTTTCCATAAACCACAAAAGGAAGTACAACAATGAGCTCATCTTTATATTCTTCTCTGATTTAAACGGTCGTACCTTCTCTCCAGCAAGCCCAATTGGTCCGAGTTCTCCAGGAGGTCCAACACGACCCTTTGGTCCCTCTGGGCCATCTTCTCCTCTGGGCCCTGAAACTCCAATCTCACCCTACCAGTGAGGAACATCAGATAACAACAGTCACAATAAAGCAAACATGGAACAGGACTGAAACATCATCTAATCTTATCCACCACAAACTTATTAGCTATCATTTATTTTACCCTCTCTCCCTTGATGCCAAAATCTCCCTTAATTCCTGGGAAGCCATCTTCTCCCTACAAACAAAAACAGTTATCTGTCAATCGAGGATATTTAGGACATTTCACATGACTGATCTTAGGCGGTAACGCAGGAGTTACCTTCTCTCCTTTGTGACCCTTTAGACCGCGGATTCCTTGCACTCCCTGCAATCAAAACAAAATGTTTGGTGGTTTAATCTTTTTAAATATGACATGAAAAAACTTTAAAATATATCATTAACTCATTCGCTGCCAGCGTTTCTCGCCATTTTTTGAGTCACAGAACGTTGCGCGCTAGGATGATGTCGACGCCAAAACAAAGCGGAGACCCACCTCTTACATCAGGAAGAATCCGCGCGTTTCGAGCGTTGTACGTTCTCTCATAATCCGTTGTTGAATTGTGATCGGCAGAAGCTTTTCCAGTTCGCGCCTCACTTTTTTTTTACAGCAGCGGCCCAAAACAATCTCCTAACACCTGGATGTTCTGCTTCCTGATCACGTGACGTACGCGGATGAAGATCGGCTTTAGAGCCGAGATGTTTGTTCTCACGGTGCGGGGGCTCGTCCGACGCCCACACAGTAAAAACATGCAAATGGCAGTGAACGGTTGGATTTAAAATGTTGACTTTTGTCATCATTGGCAGTATATGAGTTAATACACTGCTCAAAAAATAAAGGTAACACAAAAATAAGACTAGATCTGAAGCTGAACGTGCCGACAACAAACACAAAAATTATCAATGGAAATCAAACATAACCCATGGAGGTTTGGATTTGGAGTCGTACTCAAAATAAAAGTGGAAAAACAACAGGCTGGTCCAGCTTTGATGTCACGTCCTTAAAACAAAAGAAAATGAGGCTCAGTAGTGGGTGTGGCCTCCACGTTTGTACGATCTCTACAACTCTTGGGCATGCTCCTGATGAGGTGGAGGATGGTCTCCTGAGGGATCTCCTCACAGGGTTCTACAACCTCACAACATAATCGGTCATTTACTCATTCACACGCTGGTGATGATGAGCTATATTGTAGCCACAGCTGCCCTGGGGCGCATTGACGGCAAAGACTGCCACACACTGGCACCACCAGTCTCTCCAACCACCACCATCAAGCAAGGCGGGTTAGGAGTCTTGCCCAGGGACACAACAGCAGCATTCTCTGGTGGGAGCCAGGATTGAACCTTGTAACTTACCAAAAGGTCAAATATTTAATCAAAAATTACCAGAAATTTACTTGTAGACACAAACTGCATCCCACATCCAGGGATGCATCACAACGCCTTTAAACGTGTCAAATTCTGATTTGTAAACATTGGATATAGACAAGGATCACTTCCTGATCTAGTTAGTTCTTCAGAGTTCACTCGGTTTAGGCCGACCAGTGAGCAAGCATTTGGGACCACCCTCTTATCTGACCTCAGGTCAAAACATTGCTCTGCAAAGCTTGCAAGTGACATCAGACACAACAGCCTCAGATGCAAAATAGACACTCCAGCTTCCTGCCGTCACCTGAAGGTATCTCAGACTAGATGGGTCATGCTCGGAGGTAGGGCTGCTCGATTATGGCAAAAACAATAATCACGATTATTGTGACTGAAATTGAGATCTCGATTATTTAGGACGATTTTTCAATTTATGTTGATTTTATTTGTTTTTATTCTGTCATAAAATTGCTCAGGGCACAATCGGACAAAATTAAATAAGAAACAAGATGATCACTAAAATAACTCCTGATTCCCAGTATAAAAAGACCAATATACTTATAGCTCATAGTTTATGACCCAAGGGCTATAGACCTTGGTTTAATTCATTTAAGTCTAACCAGTACAGACCCAAATACCAATATCTTGCAAATTCTGACAGCAAGAATTATACAGAAGCATTCATAATAAATGCAAATAAATTGATGTTCATAAAATGTTGTATAACATTTATTTAGTCATGTCAAGGTGCTGTAGGAGAGTGCACTAGCACCGTGTCCTCAGAGAGATTAGTTATTAGTTATCAGCGTGAGGAACTTATTTCTACCTTATTTATAAACTATTTATTTACAGGTCCATCAGTGAATGTAATAACTGTCCCAACCACAGCTGCACCCCCCCAACCCGGTTTCACAGCAATCATGGGCAAGCTGTACGTGTGTTTAGCGCGCAGCACGCGCACATTTAGCTGTTTTTAGCGGCTCAGGAGCCCGCAGTTACGGTGTGTGTCACTCACTCTGTTTAATCCAACAGGGAACCGGCTCTAAGAGCAGTTTCTTTAGCAACTGACACATCACTGCATCATTCCCTTTCCTAATGTCCTGAAGAACGGTCCGGAGCGCAGGCGGAGTGTTTAGCTAACCTGCAAGAAATGTCAACGGCGGTTATCCAGAAAGTAGCTAAGGTTACCAGAGATGTTTCTGAGGTGTTCGCTAGGTATTTTTACGATTTAAAAAGTCAAGAAGGGGGTCTGAAAAGCTGTTAGAAATAGCGTTGAAGTCGCTAAGTTGGCAACACTGTGGGAGGAGCGCTTCATTTGCAACTCAGGGCAGCGCAAGTGGGAGGAGCAAATAATCGGCTTGTTTTGTTTTTATAATCGTTCAAACCTCAGATCGTAATTGGGATAAAAATTTGATTAATTGAGCAGCCCTACTCGGAGGTCTCCATCCTGACCTCTTGACCCCCTGGATCTCACGTGGACCTTCGTACAAGGGTGCGTAGACTCAGCACAAATGGCATCGGATGGTTTTATGAACAATCTAGCTTATTAAACCATACAGCCAAACTGATTTTAAAACTCAGACATCTGAAACATGTAGCTCACATTCCACCATCTCATTCATCATCTGTTATCCTGTACAACCATCATCCATACTTTGTCATGTTTAATCATTAGTTTAGAAAATACAATTAAACTCATTTTTATAAACTATATCCTTGACTCTGTCTGAATGAATACGAAGTGTGTGTTCCCTGAAGAGTCAAAGAACCTAAAGGAACGTTAGTTCAAATATTCAAAGATCAATCAGATTGATATTTCATATTTATATGAAACACCACATCTTATTGATCATTTAATAAATACGAAGTCAATCCACACCGCTACAACCTTCTGATAACTGGACAACCCCCTCAACCTCCTGAGCTACTGCTGCTACCTGGACTAAAACATCTGCCAGCTCCTGGACTGTCTGTGGTGCAACGTGGTGTTGGTGGATGGAGCGAGACATGATGTCCTAGATGTGTTCAACTGGACTCGGGTCTGGGAAACGGGCGGAGCAGTCTATAGCATCAGTGCCTTGCTCTTGCAGAAACTGCTGACACACTTTAGCCACGGGGTCCAACATTGTCTCACATTAGGAGGAACCCAGGGCCAACCGCATCAGCATGTGGTCTCACGGCAGTCTGACCACCTCTGGTGAGCACAACTCAGGTGTGTTCCCCCGTTTTCTTATTTTAATGCATTTTTAAAGTATTGGATATCGGCAGCCACTCATAATTAAGTGACATGAACAGAAAATGTGTTGGTATCTATGAACATTTTGATAAAATATTAAATAAATGTTCCGACCTTGATGCCACGAGGGCCAGGATAGCCGATGGCTCCTTGAGGACCGTTGGGACCCTGGAGATGATCAGGAAGATGAGTTAAAAGCATAAGACAACTAAAACCACAAAGATCTACTCTAATTATTCTAAATACACACAGAAAAAAGTTTAGGATGAAACAGATTAGGTGATTTAAATCGACACCTACCTGGTTTCCTTTAGTGCCTGATGGACCCTCCTTTCCTGGGTGACCCTGAGAACAGAAAACGGGGCTCAAGTCTCTGGACAAATAAAAATACATAAAATCATATTTAATATTTTAAAAGGGAAACTTACAGGAGGGCCGTCCGCTCCAGGCATTCCTGGTAAACCCGGTTTTCCAGTGGGACCCTAGAAAGAAACACAAAGTGGTCATGAGCTTAATCCGAGTACCGTATTTTCTGGACTATAAGCCGCTACCTTTTCCCACGCTTTGAACCCTGCGGCTTATAATGAGGTGCGGCTTTACTGCAGATTTTCCTTCACCTGCCACTAGGGGGCGCTTTAGCAGAAAGTGAAACAGGTGGAAGTCAAAAGTGGAAATCGAAGAAAGTGCTCATTTTAATTTAGCACATGCAAGCAGCCGGCACGATCCATACCCCCTCATCATGGTAACTACACGTATGAGTTCATATGATGCCGCATTTAAGCTGAAGGCCATTGATCTGGCAGTAAAGGAGGGAAACAGTGCTGCCGTACGTAAGCTTGGCATGAATGAATCCATGGTTCGGCGCTGGAGACGGCAGCGGGAAGAACTCATTCAAGCCAGCTTCACCCGGGGATGATGACAGCAACACGGACAGCGACACTGACATCGCCACAGAAAAGGTATGTGACGAAGCTCTTCTGAGGCTGTCCAACACCGACACTGAAGAAGAGGACTTTAATGGCTTTAGTGCGCAAGAGGAAGATGAGAGCGAATGACTTCTTCTGGTAGGCAAGTGTGTTTTATTTACTAACCAGGCATGTTTTGTGTGCAGTTTTTATTTTCTAATCATCCAGGCCTTATTAATGCTGAGTCAGCGCTGTTCTTTTCTTCTAAACATGCAAATTACGGTAATAACGTGTCAGTGCTGTTTTTATTTTATAACCATCCAGAAATATGAATGCTATCAGTGCTGTTCTCTTTTCTAAACTTGCAGGCACGTTCACCCGTGTTTAAAATTCGTTTTGTTGAATTAAAACAACGATGAAAAACCTCCGTGTAGCGACTTTCTGTCTAATTATCTCATGTTATGGCCGTACATGCGCTGTGCGCCAGAGACCTGCATGTGGCTGCTGTGCCGCGGCTTGTATTTGAGTGCGGTGTGTGTAGAAAACCTTTTTTTTTGTTGGTGGGCTCTATAGTCCGGAAATTACAGTAACTATATAATCCAAGACTAATCCTAATTTCTAGCATTCCCAGACCCAGTGGATATAGAGTCTCACATTCCTTAGTGGATATCAGTATTTCTATTCTTTTTGTGAAACCAGTTTAACATCTATACTGCTGCTGGTTTGTCCAAAATACAAGCTGAAAAATAAGGTTCATGGATATTTTAGATTTTTGTTATTGGGGCCTCTGGTTTATGAAGACAATAGTTAAACATGAGGAAGATCTGGAACTAGCAGCAGGGTCGTTGAGGATTTCACCATTTTAATGTAATTCTAGTATCTAGGACACAAATTCTGGGTTACTTACTTTCTCTCCTGGAGGTCCAATAGCTCCCTGAGGTCCTGGCATTCCCTGCAAAAACAACAAATATAAAACCAATTATGTATTCTTTACTCTAAACGTCGTATGCAAATGCAGAAAAGACACACTGCTCTCCCCAAAGGGGATGCAGCCTGTAAATTACTATAGAGCACACTAGAGCTGGGGATTCTTCAGCAACACAGGAACAATAAAACTGCAGAAACGTCGGTCTGTCACATAAAGGCAATGATACCAGTGATGCAGCTTCTTACTCCTAAAAAACATCAAATGGCAGGTAGGTTGTCTCACCTGAGTTCCTGGAGTTCCCTGCTGGCCTGGAGGTCCGGGCTCACCTTGAGGACCCTGAGAGATAAAATAAAAAGTGACTGGAAGGTACAAAAGGAGTAGTAAAATGTATGAAATTACTGGTTGTACAGTTCAGATCCTACTTGTAAATAATCTGATAATTTCATGATGACATGTTAAAGTTGCTTTCCGGAGTTTTCCCGTTTCAGAAATGATGTATAATTTGTCAGAAATCTGTAAAAGTGATTGTCTCATCCTGTGATAAAATGTAAGCGATACGTCTTGTTTTTTTTTTTTGCTAACCACGCCCCCTGCCCTGCAGAGCGCCGTGCAATAGGAAACTGAGCGCCAACCAGAACTAACCAATAGCGTTAGACTACCGCGTACGTGCTTCAAATTTAAGGAATACCTCGGCTGATGCAGAGTTGAGGAACTTTTCACGGACAAGAAAGTCTCTAAAATATAAATATGTGAGACCACAAAGGAGAATAATACTCGTAAAACAACGTGTTTTTGCTGTTTGTCGCTACAGAAGCACATTTATAAACAGAAATGTGAAGTCGCCATCTTAAAAAAACAGGAACTGCGTTTTGGTGTGATATGCTTGTCAGCCACTAGATGGTGCCATCGGATAAGAGAAATACTCCGGAAAGAAGCTTTAACCATTACTGACCAAATTTCCTTTGGGACCATGAGGGCCATCATTTCCTCGTACACCCTGGAAGGAGAGAGAGAGCACACAGTAAAAAACATTTGCTGCCCATGTGAACAACTTCCTCACTGGTTTATATCAGAGCACTTTTTTGCAGGTAGAAAGTGAAAATGCCCTTTTTATTCTTTAATCGCAGCATATCAGACACTGGTGATGAGAAAGTCCATCATTTTAAACATCAATATCTATAAAGTTCTGCTGTATTATTCTGATTCATGAAAACAAGATAAAAGCAAAACAAAAAAGTCACACTACACTAAACAGCTCTGTTAGATATAAATATATGGCGTAGATGTCAAAAATGGCTGCCAGAATCCTCCCTTCAGCAGAAACTGAAGAACATCACATCCTAATTTCTGGATCAGTAGCTTTCCCGGCCGTCATATCAGGATACAGACTGTTGCTTCAGGCATGGATGTGGGTGTTGTGTGGTTTACTTACAGGAGGTCCAGAGATTCCTGGAGGACCTTTAGGCCCGAGCAAACCACGGGGTCCCTAAAGACAAAGACAGAAACACATCTAGGGTAAGATAAAACTCAGTAACAGGGAAAACTCAAGGTCTAAAACAATACTCTCAAATTCAACTACCGTATTTTCCGCAGTATAAGTCGCACCAGCCATAAAATGTATAATGAAGAAAAAAACATATATAAGTCGCACTATAAGTCGCATTTTGGGGGGAAACTTTATTACTTTTCTTACAAAATCTGAGACCAAGCGTTTCACATTGCAAGACAAGTACCGGTAATAATAACAGAATAAACAATCAGGGCGCAGCTGCGCGCCACGGTCTCCAGCAGAAGATGGCGGCGTTTCAAACCCTCCCAGTGGGTGGGGAGAGCGCCCGCAGTACCCCGCACGCCACAGGCTGCAGCAGGTGATGGCGGTGTTTGAAACCCTCCCAGCGGGGCAGAGGAGCTGAAACCTGGACCGGAGCCGGCCCGCAGCAGCGCGCAACGGTCTCCAGCAGGTGATGGCGGGGCAGGGGAGCTCATTCCTGGTCTGGAGCCGGCCCGCAGCAGCACGGTACACATAATTTGGTACATAAGTCACTTTGGTATATAAGTCGCAGGACCAGCCAGACTATGAAAAAAAGTGCAACTTATAGTCTGGAAAATACGGTATGTGAATAAATTATGTGTAAATATGCACAGCCAATAAAAATCTAAATGAGCTGTTAAATCTCTTTGGTTGCCATGGAAACACTCACGGGTTCACCTGGGAGACCCCTGGGTCCGACGTCTCCATCGTCTCCCTACAAACAGAAACAAGAGTGAATAAATGCTGACAAAACTGATATAAAGTAACACAAAGTAAGATTACTGAAGTATTTTAGATGTTTTTCTGTTTCAGTGCATATCCTCTCTCCATCTTCTCCTTGAGATCCTGGTGGTCCCATTGGTCCCGGGTCACCCTGACAAGATCCAAAGCAGAAGAAATCAGAACACAGAAAACTTCATCTACTTCCAAAAAACCCAAACAGTTATTCAAGCGTCGATGATATCACATGGATACATTACACATTACCAAGAACTTACCCTGTGTCCTTTGTCACCAGGCAAACCAGGAAGACCATCAAAGCCACGATCGCCCTGAGACGAACACACAAACCATAAGGCACAACGACTACACCAAACAGAATAGATTAAAAACACAAATATTTATTATTTAGGGAATAACCTGTGTTTTTATTTGACAAATATGATAACAGAGTGAATACTTTACTTTAGATCCGGGCTCTCCGGGCATTCCCCGAGGCCCATCAGCACCAGCACGACCCTGAGAGCACAAGCAGACAATATTAAAATGTTTTAAAACTTTAAATGTAAAGTTTGTTTTTACCAACTAAAACAACCCAAATAAGATTCTGTTTGGTCGTGTTTGCAAAAAAAGATTACAGGACCAAAACGACCTTATAAAAAAAAACACAAAGAGCTATCCTGGCCCTCTGAAAAAACACAAGTGTTTGTTATAAACTATAATCACTGTGTTAGCATGTGTAGAATCTGTGATAACAACTAGGGCTGCAACAAACGATTATTTGGATAATCGATTAATCGGATGGGGTCTCGACACGATTAATCGGATTACATAGGGACATTTTTTAAAACTGCTAGGGAAACGTTATTTTTCTCTTTCCTTCACTTTATTAAACACAACATTATTAGAAAACAGTTCAATAGCAGACAAACAACATGCCATCACCTAAATTGTCTTATAAGGTGTATAGACAGAGACCCTAAGCTACACCTATCTGTGACCTAAAATGCTTGGTCCAAGTTAAACAGCTTAAAGAGCAAGTCAACCCCTACCAGAGTCTAACTCCACTCCCACTTCATGTTTGAAAAATGCAACACATGCTGTTGCCTGGCAGACCGAGAGGGCGGAGCCGCTAACAAATACACACACACTCAGGCTCACGACAGCATTGTGACATCATAATGTACCAGTTTACATAATAGCATACTTCTTAGCCAATAGCGGTGGCTGATTTAAATTAAAATACAGTGCAGAGTTTTTACCTGACAACGGCACAACACTGCCAGTTTTAGGCAGAATATTTACATTTTAACTAAGATGCACTGAAGTGCCAAATTATTGACTACACGTGTCTGCAGCACGATTAGACACTCGTTTATTTAGTTTATCAGCAAAAAAAAAAGTTTATTTGGGGGTGACTTGCTCTTTAAGGGCAATTCTCATCTGTTTTGTTTGATCTCATCTGTAGACATTTATTATAATTGGGGATGTCAAACAACTAATTTTTAAATGTAATTAAACATAGGCTGTGAATTAATCAAAATTAATCACTATTTCCAAAAATGACTGAAAAAAAACCCCAAATAAAACAAAAGTAAATGAATGCCATCCTCCTTGCGATGATGCCCTGGGCAACTGCCATAAAGTCACATCAAGAAATGCTGCTGATCATTCCAATGATCCCAAATAGACTCACATTAGGCCACATGAAAGCAACTGAACCCAAAAATATATTAACCAGTATATAACTGCACTCTCACACAACACGCCTGCAGCATCAGTTAGGACTCCTCCCTCCCTTTTAAAAGCGTTTTCGCTTCTGAGGACATTGTGAAGCCACATGTTAGTAGTCTGGCCCCGGTGTGATCAACCAGTTTCTGCGGGAATGTGACGGCGGAACCGGTTCGCAGCGGCGCGAGTCCAGTCCGTCCCCCCCCCGCCTATCTAATAGCGTCGCGCTTACAATTTTATAGACTTTTTTTAACGAGCTTAGAGCATGTCTAGCCTGTGTAATAATCCGGGGCTTGGGTGAATCACTTTTGAAAAGTTTTTAACTTACCCGGACACCGAGCTCTCGCCTTCCTCGCTGATGATTCTGACATGCTTGCGTTTAAGACGCTGCATCATCACCGTTGTATCCCCGTGCCATGCTAAGTCTGACCTACAAACGTTGCATGTCTTCGCCTGATTTAACTGAAAATGCTCCCAAACTTTAGAAATTTTTACTTTTTGGGGGTCTCGCTGCTTCTGCCATGTTCCTCTTACAAACACCTGCCGGCTCTGCACCGGTCTGCGCGCAACGGCGGGCAGGAGGGGAGGGGGCTTTTGGAAGAGTTGCGCAACACAACGAATCGATGACGCAATTTGTTGCCAACGCTTTTAGTAATCGATTTTCATCGAATTTATCGATTAGTTGTTGCAGCCCTAATAACAACAAATACAACAAATAAAAACTAAACAGAAACAAAGTGGCTGTTTCTACTCACTCTTCTTCCTGATTTACCCGGAGGACCCAGCAACCCCTGTGATCCTCTGGGGCCCTAAAAACAAACAAACAAATGTCTGTGATTGGTGGCCGGTATAAATGATCAACACCAGTTTGGAGAAGCGACTGGTTTACCTGAGGACCAGGATCTCCACTTTCTCCCTTCAGCCCAGAGCTTCCTGGACTTCCCTACAACAAATGAAACAATTAATTTGTTGATATCCATATTTAAATGAAAACAATTACATTTGCAACACAAAACAAAATCATAAAAAAATATATGTGTCTGAAATCTTTGGGCCGGCGCAGTTCAATAAAACATAACAATAAAGAGTTCATGAATAATCTGTTGAGTAAAACATTGTTAACAATAAAAAAAAAAAAACTCTTGGTATAAACAACAAAACAAAAGGAAACATACCACAGGTCCAGGGCGCCCGGTGAATCCCATTGGTCCAGGAGGTCCTTTCAGTGCCATCTAAAGAAAGTTACATCTCTAAATCAATAGTGATGATGTGGCTGTTTATCAGGAATCTGTGGCAGAAATCTTCTTTCTAAATCAGAAATATTTTCTGTAGGTTTTACGTTAGCAGCCTGTATTAAACTTTCAGCCCAAGTTTCAATTGTCACAAATTTAATTTGTATTTTGGTGCATTTTTCTAATTAAAATGGCTTTTTCTATGCAAGGAAAATTAAAACCTGCCCAAAATGGTATAAATCTATTTCTAACTGGGTAACAGTAAAGCATCAGACATCCCCTAAGTGCACAGTGAACAGGTGACATAAAAGTTTCTGACTGACCCTAGCCTGAGACAAGATGGCGGCTGCCTGGGCCTCCTGTGCAGAGACAACGGGACCCTTATCGCCGCCGCCCTGCCCAAAACGGAACTGCAAAGAAAGGAAGAAAAACAGAAGATATGAAGCAGATCCGTGTGTCGAATCGGAGAAAATATAACTGAACAACAAAAACTAACAAACAGAACCCAAAATGTCTTTGTAAGATGTAGCTGATTGACCAAATTGTTTGGTTGAGCGACCATAATGAAAATTCCATATATCAGTCTGAGTTAAACACAAAACGACTAAATCTAGTGAAAATGCAGAATCACACCCATGATCAAAAGGTACAAGTGACTCACAGGAAGCATGACTGAGGTTCCAGGAGGTCCAGGGACTCCATCAGCCCCAGGCAGACCAGCTTTACCAGGAGGACCCTGCAGGGTGAAGAGGATTGATGAAGCTGACACAAGTGCAGAAAAAGCTCTAAAATAGCAGTAATTACACATTCCTCAGAACTACTGATGCACAAATCTGCCCTGAATAGAATAAAGAAGAAAATATTACTTACCCTCTCTCCAGGATCTCCCACAGAACCAGGAGGTCCAGATGATCCAGGAGGTCCAGACGGTCCCTTGAAAAGGAAATGTAGGATTTGTATATTTTTCAGCAGAGTAGAAGTGCAACTTAAAAATACCAGTTGAAATGAGGAAAATCATAAGGTCTAATAATTTTCATAAAGACTAAATAAATATGACGGACTTACTGCAGGCCCTTCAGGCCCTGGGGGACCTTCTATTAACATGCCCTAAAATGGACAAAATAAATAAAACAACTGAGAATTAAAAAAAGAAAGAAAACAGAATGCACCTTGCAGAAATCTAATAATAGGAAATAATTTAAAATATAAACACAATAAAACAGCACGGTATACATAATTTGGTACATAAGTCACTTTGGTATATAAGTCGCAGGACCAGCCAGACTATGAAAAAAAGTGCAACTTATAGTCTGGAAAATATGTGAATAAATTATGTGTAAATATGCACAGCCAATAAAAATCAAAATGAGCTGTTAAATCTCTTTGGTTGCCATGGAAACACTCACGGGTTCACCTGGGAGACCCCTGGGTCCGACGTCTCCATCGTCTCCCTACAAACAGAAACAAGAGTGAATACATGCTGACAAAACTGATATAAAGTAACACAAAGTAAGATTACTGAAGTATTTTAGATGTTTTTCTGTTTCAGTGCATACCCTCTCTCCATCTTCTCCTTGAGATCCTGGTGGTCCCATTGGTCCCGGGTCACCCTGACAAGATCCAAAGCAGAAGAAATCAGAACACAGAAAACTTCATCTACTTCCAAAAAACCCAAACAGTTATTCAAGCGTCGATGATATCACATGGATACATTACACATTACCAAGAACTTACCCTGTGTCCTTTGTCACCAGGCAAACCAGGAAGACCATCAAAGCCACGATCGCCCTGAGACGAACACACAAACCATAAGGCACAACGACTACACCAAACAGAATAGATTAAAAACACAAATATTTATTATTTAGGGAATAACCTGTGTTTTTATTTGACAAATATGATAACAGAGTGAATACTTTACTTTAGATCCGGGCTCTCCGGGCATTCCCCGAGGCCCATCAGCACCAGCACGACCCTGAGAGCACAAGCAGACAATATTAAAATGTTTTAAAACTTTAAATGTAAAGTTTGTTTTTACCAACTAAAACAACCCAAATAAGATTCTGTTTGGTCGTGTTTGCAAAAAAAGATTACAGGACCAAAACGACCTTATAAAAAAAACACAAAGAGCTATCCTGGCCCTCTGAAAAAACACAAGTGTTTGTTATAAACTATAATCACTGTGTTAGCATGTGTAGAATCTGTGATAACAACTAGGGCTGCAACAAACGATTATTTGGATAATCGATTAATCGGATGGGGTCTCGACACGATTAATCGGATTACATAGGGACATTTTTTAAAACTGCTAGGGAAACGTTATTTTTCTCTTTCCTTCACTTTATTAAACACAACATTATTAGAAAACAGTTCAATAGCAGAAAAACAACATGCCATCACCTAAATTGTCTTATAAGGTGTATAGACAGAGACCCTAAGCTACACCTATCTGTGACCTAAAATGCTTGGTCCAAGTTAAACAGCTTAAAGAGCAAGTCAACCCCTACCAGAGTCTAACTCCACTCCCACTTCATGTTTGAAAAATGCAACACATGCTGTTGCCTGGCAGACCGAGAGGGCGGAGCCGCTACCAAATACACACACACTCAGGCTCACGACAGCATTGTGACATCATAATGTACCAGTTTACATCATAGCATACTTCTTAGCCAATAGCGGTGGCTGATTTAAATTAAAATACAGTGCAGAGTTTTTACCTGACAACGGCACAACACTGCCAGTTTTAGGCAGAATATTTAAATTTTAACTAAGATGCACTGAAGTGCCAAATTATTGACGACACGTGTCTGCAGCACGATTAGACACTCGTTTATTTAGTTTATCAGCAAAAAAGTTTATTTGGGGGTGACTTGCTCTTTAAGGGCAATTCTCATCTGTTTTGTTTGATCTCATCTGTAGACATTTATTATAATTGGGGATGTCAAACAACTAATTTTTAAATGTAATTAAACATAGGCTGTGAATTAATCAAAATTAATCACTATTTCCAAAAATGACTGAAAAAAAACCCCAAATAAAACAAAAGTAAATGAATGCCATCCTCCTTGCGATGATGCCCTGGGCAACTGCCATAAAGTCACATCAAGAAATGCTGCTGATCATTCCAATGATCCCAAATAGACTCACATTAGGCCACATGAAAGCAACTGAACCCAAAAATATATTAACCAGTATACAAGTGCTGGCCAGTAAATTAGAATATCATCAAAAGGTTGAAAATATTTCAGTAATTCCATTCAAAACGTGAAACTTGTACATTATATTCATGCAATGCACACAGACCAATGTATTTCCAATGTTCATTACATTTAAATTTGATATTCATAAGTGACAACTAATGAAAACTCCAAATTTGGTATCTCAAAAAATTAGAATATTCTGAAAAGGCTGAATATAGAAGACACCTGCTGCCACTCTAATCAGCTGATTTACTCAAAACACCTGCAAAGGCCTTTAAAAGGTCCCTCAGTCTTGTTTTGAAGGCACCACAATCATGGGGAAGACTTCTGACTTAACAGCTGTCCAAAAGACAATCATTGACACCTTGCACAAGGAGGGCAAGACACAAAAGGTGATTGCTAAAGAAGCTGGCTGTTCGCAGAGCTCTGTGTCCAAGCACATTAACAGACAGGCGAAGGGACGGAAAAAATGTGGTAGAAAAAAGTGTACAAGCTCTAGGGATAACCGCACCCTGCAGAGAATTGTGACAACAAACCCATTCAAAAATGTGGGGGAGATCCACAAAGAGTGGACTGCAGCTTGAGTCAGCGCTTCAAGAACCACCACGAGGAGACTCATGAAAGACATGGGATTCAGGTGTCGCATTCCGTGTGTCAAGCCACTCTTGAACAAGAAACAGCGCAAGAAGCGTCTCGCCTGGGCCAAGGACAAAAAGGACTGGACTGATGCTGAGTGGTCCAAAGTTATGTTTTCTGATGAAAGCAAGTTCTGCATTTCCTTTGGAAATCAAGGACCCAGAGTCTGGAGGAAGAGCGGAGAAGCACAGAATCCACGTTGCATGAGGTCCAGTGTAAAGTTTCCACCGTCAGTGATGGTGTGGGGTGCCATGTCATCTGCCGGTGTTGGCCCACTCTGTTTCCTGAGGTCCAGGGTCAATGCAGCCGTCTACCAGGAAGTTTTAGAGCACTTCATGCTTCCTGCTGCTGACCAACTTTATGGGGATGCAGACTTCACCTTTCAACAGGACTTGGCACCTGCACACAGTGCCAAAACCACCAGCACCTGGTTCAAGGACCATGGTATCCCTGTCCTTGATTGGCCAGCAAACTCGCCTGACCTTAACCCCATAGAAAATCTATGGGGTATTGTGAAGCGGAGGATGCAATACGCTAGACCCAACAATGCAGAGGAGCTGAAGACGACTATCAGAGCAACCTGGGCTCTCATAACACCTGAGCAGTGCCACAGACTGATCGAGTCCATGCCACGCCGCATTACTGCAGTTATTGAGGCAAAAGGAGCCCCGACTAAGTATTGAGTGCTATACATGCACATTCTTTTCATGTTCATTCTTTTCAGTTGGCCAACATTAGAGAAACAAACATTTTTTCATTGGCCTTTAGAATATTCTAATTTTCTGAGATACCAGATTTGATGTTTTCATTGGTTGTCACCTATAAATATCAAAATTAAACGTAATGAACATTGGAAATACATTGGTCTGTGTGCATTGCATGAATATAATGTACAAGTTTCACGTTTTGAATGGAATTACTGAAATATTTTCAACCTTTTGATGATATTCTAATTTACTGGCCAGCACTTGTATAACTGCACTCTCACACAACACGCCTGCAGCAACAGTTAGGACTCCTCCCTCCCTTTTAAAAGCGTTTTCGCTTCTGAGGACATTGTGAAGCCACATGTTAGTCTGGCCCCGGTGTGATCAACCAGTTTCTGCGGGAATGTGACGGCGGAACCGGTTCGCAGCGGCGCGAGTCCAGTCCGTCCCCCCCCCCCCCCCCCCCCAGCCTATCTAATAGCGTCGCACTTACAATTTTATAGACTTTTTTTAACGAGCTTAGGGCATGTCTAGCCTGTGTAATAATCCGGGGCTTGGGTCAATCACTTTTGAAAAGTTTTTAACTTACCCGGACACCGAGCTCTCGCCTTCCTCGCTGATGATTCTGACATGCTTGCGTTTAAGACGCTGCATCATCACCGTTGTATCCCCGTGCCATGCTAAGTCTGACCTACAAACGTTGCATGTCTTCGCCTGATTTAACTGAAAATGCTCCCAAACTTTAGAAATTTTTACTTTTTGGGGGTCTCGCTGCTTCTGCCATGTTCCTCTTACAAACACCTGCCGGCTCTGCACCGGTCTGCGCGCAACGGCGGGCAGGAGGGGAGGGGGCTTTTGGAAGAGTTGCGCAACACAACGAATCGATGACACAATTCGTTGCCAACGCATTTAGTAATCGATTTTCATCGAATTTATCGATTCGTTGTTGCAGCCCTAATAACAACAAATACAACAAATAAAAACTAAACAGAAACAAAGTGGCTGTTTCTACTCACTCTTCTTCCTGATTTACCCGGAGGACCCAGCAACCCCTGTGATCCTCTGGGGCCCTAAAAACAAACAAACAAATGTCTGTGATTGGTGGCCGGTATAAATGATCAACACCAGTTTGGAGAAGCGACTGGTTTACCTGAGGACCAGGATCTCCACTTTCTCCCTTCAGCCCAGAGCTTCGTGGACTTCCCTACAACAAATGAAACAATTAATTTGTTGACATCCATATTTAAATGAAAACAATTACATTTGCAACACAAAACAAAATCATAAAAAAATATATGTGTCTGAAATCTTTGGGCCGGCGCAGTTCAATGAAACATAACAATAAAGAGTTCATGAATAATCTGTTGAGTAAAACATTGTTAACAATAAAAAAAAAAAAAACTCTTGGTATAAACAACAAAACAAAAGGAAACATACCACAGGTCCAGGGCGCCCGGTGAATCCCATTGGTCCAGGAGGTCCTTTCAGTGCCATCTAAAGAAAGTTACATCTCTAAATCAATAGTGATGATGTGGCTGTTTATCAGGAATCTGTGGCAGAAATCTTCTTTCTAAATCAGAAATATTTTCTGTAGGTTTTACGTTAGCAGCCTGTATTAAACTTTCAGCCCAAGTTTCAATTGTCACAAATTTAATTTGTATTTTGGTGCATTTTTCTAATTAAAATGGCTTTTTCTATGCAAGGAAAAATAAAACCTGCCCAAAATGGTATAAATCTATTTCTAACTGGGTAACAGTAAAGCATCAGACATCCCCTAAGTGCACAGTGAACAGGTGACATAAAAGTTTCTGACTGACCCTAGCCTGAGACAAGATGGCGGCTGCCTGGGCCTCCTGTGCAGAGACAACGGGACCCTTATCGCCGCCGCCCTGCCCAAAACGGAACTGCAAAGAAAGGAAGAAAAACAGAAGATATGAAGCAGATCCGTGTGTCGAATCGGAGAAAATATAACTGAACAACAAAAACTAACAAACAGAACCCAAAATGTCTTTGTAAGATGTAGCTGATTGACCAAATTGTTTGGTTGAGCGACCATAATGAAAATTCCATATATCAGTCTGAGTTAAACACAAAACGACTAAATCTAGTGAAAATGCAGAATCACACCCATGATCAAAAGGTACAAGTGACTCACAGGAAGCATGACTGAGGTTCCAGGAGGTCCAGGGACTCCATCAGCCCCAGGCAGACCAGCTTTACCAGGAGGACCCTGCAGGGTGAAGAGGATTGATGAAGCTGACAGAAGTGCAGAAAAAGCTCTAAAATAGCAGTAATTACACATTCCTCAGAACTACTGATGCACAAATCTGCCCTGAATAGAATAAAGAAGAAAATATTACTTACCCTCTCTCCAGGGTCTCCCACAGAACCAGGAGGTCCAGATGATCCAGGTGGTCCAGACGGTCCCTTGAAAAGGAAATGTAGGATTTGTATATTTTTCAGCAGAGTAGAAGTGCAACTTAAAAATACCAGTTCAAATGAGGAAAATCATAAGGTCTAATAATTTTCATAAAGACTAAATAAATATGACGGACTTACTGCAGGCCCTTCAGGCCCTGGGGGACCTTCTATTAACATGCCCTAAAATGGACAAAATAAATAAAACAACTGAGAATTAAAAAAAGAAAGAAAACAGAATGCACCTTGCAGAAATCTAATAATAGGAAATAATTTAAAATATAAACACAATAAAACAGAATACTTCTCAAATATGAGCTGAATAAATAACTGGCCAAAAACCTTGGAGTCTTTCTCCAATTTTAACTTCTAATTATTGGCTCCTTTAAAAACCCAGAATTCATATCTTATGATGGGGTAAAGTTTTCATCATTTAACAAAATCAGACCCTCTAAATAAAAAGCTCAAGAGAATTTGCGACTCACAGGCTCCAAAACAGCAGGTTCTCCCTTTTCTCCTTTCTGGCCTCTAAAGGCGGCCTGAGGGAAAACACAAGTACCCAGGAACATAGTTCTGTCATTATAAACATACTTACACAGGAAACTGCAAAGCAAAACAAAAGTCTAGTTCATTCAAATATACAACAGGCACCAAGAAAATAAACTAAAACGTTTCCTGTATTATAGTAAAAGAACAAATTTACAACCTGTGTTGTTGTGAAAGGCATGAAAGCCTTCCTTCAAACATCATTGACTATTATGTTTTCCACCGAGCGGGTCCATTACTTTTCAACACTTATTGCATGAAAAAGCTTAGCAATAACAATAAAAAGCCATACACTGAGAAAATGACATTATTGACCGTTTTACTTAAAAATGCCTTTTTTTTCAGTGTATGTGAGAGCTACTGCTTACATTTAATAGTATTCCCAACAGCTTTTACTTTGGTAACAGCTAAAGCATTATTGTCATTGAAAAAGTCAGTTTCAACCACTAACACACCTTCAAGGTCTTGAATTGCATTCAAATATGTGTTCCTCTTTGACTGATTGAGCTTGTCGTAGAAACAACTGAAATTTAAAGTTGAAAATTTTTAGCTTAAAAAACAAATTTTATCTAGTAAAATTTAACTAGAGCAATATCGTATGGACATCGGGGACAGTTCAACTGGATTGGCAGACCGGGGTGGTGGTCCCTCTATTTAACCCTCCCACTGTCCTAATGGGTATGACCCCGCGAGGAAAGTTGACCATTGAGCAGGGTTGATGGTTTATCCCTTGGGTCCATATGGCAGGGGTGAGGAGTGAGCACCACCTCACCCCCGTCACGTGCACTGTAAATACATTTTCTGGGTGTAGTACATGCAACATTTTTTTTTAAAGTTATTTTTCTCTGAAAATTTAATTAAATTTTTTTTTAGCATTTTAAACGTTTTCCATACTCAAAAACTTCTACAATTTTCCCAACTCAATATTTTTGGGAACAATTTTGATTAGGTTGGACTTCAGCGTAAATATGAGTATGTAAAACTCAGTTATTGGCTTAGATGGAAGATAAATGCCAGAACCCGCCCATTTATCCTGCAACGGAAGAAGAAGGCACAAGGCACTGACTGTTAAGCGGGACGGCCCATCTTGGAAGAGCTTGCATTCGCAGCCGAACTCGTGGATAAAGCTTTTCAAAAACTTGTAAGTAACTATTTTGACTATTTTAAGTTAAAGTGTAGTCAAAATGTCACAACTAAACGATTTATATGATTGTTTATCATACCTGCTCAGGCTGCTCTTAGCTAGCAATGTGTACTAATCTGTCGGTCTGTTAGCTTACTTCAACATGTAGTCCGTTTTGTTACTATCAAACGTCACTTTTGTGTTTATTTCAGAAACATTTTCGGTAGGCTTTCACTCTTATATAGTTAATTCATGTCCTGTTTTGTAGGCACGTCTTAAAGGTTATGAATTCTTACAGAGCAGATATATAGCTTTAATTGTGCTTGCCTGCCTCACAGAGCTGCTTACAAGTGTATTTCGAACTGCTAGTTATCATAACTAGCCGATATTTGAACCGACAAATGGCGTATCGGCCATCAGCTTGTGAAAACCGCGGGGGTATTTTTTACGTTTTGGTCGTGCTTATCTCCATTTTATTTATGGCTGGGGCTGTATTTTCAAATTATATGCTGCTCTTCCTGTTTCTCGTCTATGCCGTTAATTTTCTGTCCGTCACACCCGCTCGTGTGTGAGTGAGAAACTGAGAAAAAAATGGAGAGACGAGAGGCGATTGATCTGCTGGTGTGGTGTCGAAAATATGGAGAAGCTCTTGTTTGAAACTCGGTACGCCGCCTCTGTAACGCCTGCCCGATGCATCTGCCACACTCGATGGATTACGCCACCATCACGTTTGCTCTTTGTAGGTCGACTCGTCTGACTTTTCTTTCTTTTCTTTTTTTTAACTACAATAAATGTCTGTTTTTAGTTATCACTCCCATAAGATTGCTTCTGACTGCAAAAAAGTGTTTAAACACCGCGTGGGCCACTTAATGGCAGATAAAATCCTTAAGTAAAGATGGAATGAAAACAAATAGCAAAAATAAAATATCAATCAATTTATGGCACAACTACAGTGCACAACACCTGATTCTGATGAATTATAAACAAGAAAATGTTAATAGGCATCTTCATTTAAAATTCACGAGGTAATTCACAACAAGTGTTGTGTTTTTTTATTCACGTGTCACTGTTTTGCTTGCCTCAATTGAAATAATTCTGTGCAATTCAATCATTTTTAAGGGGTTTATGCCATCAGTTTGGCCAATATGTAACATTTAAACCATAATACTCTTTTTTTAACAAACTCTGAAGGTGATGTACTTAAAGATTTAAGTGACTCAGTTCTTTTATTGTTTATTCAGATTATTATTCATGTTTTATTTTTGTTCTTTAACTACTAAGTTTAAAGCATTTACTGATATTATTTGCATTTTTATAGATAAATGCAGAGTTCCAAAGGTGCACTGCTGTTCCTCTACAGTCTACATTCATGTCTCAGCTGGATAAATGTACTCCAAAGCTCCTGGATTTGTTCAGTGCCAAGGGAGGAGCAGTTGGTCAGCGCATCAAGAACTTATTGATGGAACTGATACAGGTGAGTTAAAAAATTATGGTATTACATTAAGTAATCTGTATTCATGTTCAGTTTGAAGTTTTAACTTTGGTTTCAAAGCCCTGAACAGTCCACCTGTCTGAGCATCTAACCCCATACATTGCTCTCATCTACTGAGGTCTGCAGATTAGTCGACTAATCACGTCATGCAAAAAACTATAGCTTTTTCCACAAGGATGCTTAATAAAGCCATCATTAGCTACTAGTTTGAAGTGTGATCAGTTATGTTCCATCTAATAATAAAGACAAGATGATAGCTTATCAAACAACTTTAAATAACTTTCTAACCTGTTAATACAAATGCTACACAGTGAAGGGAGGTAGGCACCAAAAACCAAAATAAATTGTATTTTTTTTTAAAAGCGCTTATAGAATAAACGTCGACTATTAAATTTGTAGTCGACTACTTCGTTTAATTTTATTTTGTTGATGTCATTGTGACTAATCGTGCCAGCAATAGATGTGATCTAAATTGTGTGGGGCAAGGGCTTTCTTGTTTACCAGCCACAACTTTTGGAATGTACACATATGTGCAGCGGGCTTGATTGCTTGCTTGGTCTAAATCCATAATGAAGTTATATTTCAACCATTTTGCTTTAGGTCAGTGATCCCTACTTATTTATAACTTTTCACTTATGTGTGGCTGTTTTTCGATGCTCTGCTTCTTTTTGTGGAAATTTGGTTATTATGATGCTTTTTTTTTGTTTGTTTTTTTTTTTACTCGCTGTCATGTTTTTTGTCGTCTACGTTTCTGGTGCTTTTTTGTCTTTCTGTGCAGCACTTTGGTAAGTTGTCATGATGTTTTTTAAACTGATGTATTGTATGGAAGCTTAGTTAATAATGCTAAATCAAAAGTTCCTTTCTTACTTCAAAAGATCGCAGGTGCAAAAGAAAGCAATTTGATGTAAATAAAAATTAATAAAAATAATGCTAAGTCTAAATTATGTTAGACCTTTTCTATTGATATCAACCTTTTACCGGGAAATACCACCACACACGTTTTGTTTGAATGTGTACGTATCAAAAAATTGTGGGTAGTGTGTAAAAGACTTTTTTTCTTTTGTCAGAATTTTAATTAATTTAATGACTTTTTCATTAACTTTAGGACACAAATGTCTCCACTGTGCAGAAGAGAGACGTAACTCTGAGATGCCTCATTGAGTACATGGGAGAGAGTGGACAGGAGCTCATCTCGGACTACTATGTAAGTAAATTGCTAGGGCCAAGATTGAATCAATCTGTTGCACAAACTGGATTTGATGAGTAATAAAAATAGGCTACCCTAGTTTTGCATAGTTGTTTTAATAAACATCCACAAAGTATAAACTCCAGGATGATTGAGCATTGAAATTCAGCCGTTGCGCCTGAGCCTATGTAAGGGAAACACTGATGTGTGCAAATGCATCTGTGTCTGCTCTGTTCTCACAAATATCCAGTGAGTTATGGGGAATCACTGTTCACGTTAACAAGCTCACTTTAACGTTGATTGGTCAAATATACGAGCAAGTTAAGTTTAAAACAAAATAAACAAGTTTACAAATCGTTCAGTTAGGGCTGCTCAATTAATCGAATTTTAATCACGATTACGATCTGAGTTTTGAACGATTATAAAAAACAAAACAAGCCGATTATTTGCTCCTCCCGCTTGCGCTGCCCTGAGTTGCAAATGAAGCGCTCCTCCACAGTGTTGCCAACTTAGCGACTTTGACGCTATTTCTAGCAGCTTTTCAGACCCCCTTCTTGACTTTTTAATCCTAAAAGTACCTAGCGAACATCTCAGAAACATCTCTGGTAACCCTTAGCTACTTTCTGGATAACGGTCGTCGACATTTCCTGCAGGTTAGCTAAACACTCCGCCTGAGCTCCGGACCGTTCTTCACAACATTAGGAAAGGGAATGATGTAGTGATGTGTCGGTCGCTAAAGACAGCTCTCGGAGCCGGCTCCTTGTTGGATTAACCAGAGTGAGTGACACACACACCGCACCTGCGGACTCCTGAGCCGCTAAAAACAGCTAAATGTGCGCGTGCAGCGCGCTAAACACACGTGCAGCTTGTCCGATTGCTGTGAGACCGGGTTGAGGGGTGGGGGGTGCAGCTGTGGTTGGGACAATTATTACATTAACTGATGGACTTGTAAATAAATAGTTTATAAATAAGGTAGAAATAAGTTCCTCACGCTGATAAATAATAACTAACCTCTCTGAGGACACAGTGCTCCTACAGCACCTTGACACGACTCAATAAATGTTATGCAACATTTTGTGAACATCAATTTATTTGCATTTATTTGTTATAAATGCCACTGTATAATTCTTGCTGTCAGTATTTGCAAGATATTGGTATTTGGTTCTGTACTGGTTAGACTTAAATGAGTTAAACCAAGGTCTATAGCCCTTGGGTCATAGACTATGAGCTATAAGTATATTGGTCTTTTTATACTGGGAATCAGGAGTTATTTTAGTGATCATCTTGTTTCTTATTTTTGTCCTAATTGTGCCCTGAGCAATTTTATGACTGAATAAAAACAAATAAAATCATCATAAATTGAAAAATCGTCCTAAATAATCGTGATCTCAATTTCAGTCACAAAAATCGTGATTATTATTTTTGCCATAATCGAGCAGCCCTACGTTCAGTGAACTCTTTAGGCACAACAATGCCATGTTGTACATGTAAACCTTTCCCTTCTCAGTCGTACATTTGCAGGATTTCCCCCAGCGCTTTATAAGCTAGGCTTTGCTTGGCCACCCGACACGAACGGCACAACAAAACTAGAGCCCTCCATCATCTTATACTGGTGAGAAACAGCTGCGGAACGTGTGCAGGGAACTCCAGCAACAGAGGAAGAACTCAGCACATTACAGTCCTAATAAATATACATATTAGAGAAACATTTAAACCAAAAAACTCATCTATGTTACTGACTGTTGATGTTGAATTACAGTTCAAATTCCATAGCCATCATCCCACACTGGTGAAATGTATCTCCGCATTTGACCCATCCCGATGAAGGGGAGTGGTGAGCTGCAGCAGTGGCTGCGCTCGGTAACTATTTGGTAGTTTAACTCCCCAATCCAACCCATTAAAGCTGAGTGTCAATCAGGGAGCTGGGTACCATTTTTAAAGTCTTTGATATGACCTGACCAGGAATCAAACCTCTATCTCCAAGTTCCAGGGCAGACACTCTACCACTAGGCCAGGGGTCGGCAACTCGCGGCTCTGGAGCCGCATGCGTCTATTTCATCCATCTGATGCGGCTCTCTGCTTGTAAAATAATTAATGAATATTTAAATTCAGTGTATTTTATTTTCCTGCATTCATTTTTTATCTGTAGCCAATTCTAAATGTAAAGATTGTCTATGTAAACCTGAACAGGTCACCTGCTTGTGCGTAATCAAACGTCTCTAGGCGCTTTCTGAGCTGAAGAGGATGTGAGGTTCTGGACTGTTCCTCAGACAGGCTCATGGATGCGTCGTAGAGGATGTGAGGTTCTGGACTGTTCCTCAGACAGGCTCATGGATGCGTCGTAGAGGATGTGAGGTTCTGGACTGTTCCTCAGACAGGCTCATGGATGCGTCGCAGTGTTGGAGACAGGAACAAGCGCTATTCAGCCAAAGATTCATAATCAAGGAACATTTTCTAAGTGACTAGTCTCTGAGAGACCGGGTTTAGAAAACACAGAATCTTCCTGCATGGTTCTGGTTCTGCTCCAAGCCCCCGATCTACACATCTTCAGCTCGCTGTTCACGTTACGCATGCGCTGACAGCGAGCTGCGCTGAGCTCAGTGTCCATCTCAGATGTTCTGATGGTAATCTTTTCCTGATTGATGTAGCTACCTCCACGATGTGCGTAACGATAAAAATGTCAGCGCATCTGTAGGCTTGAGATTTCTCCGTCAAAATAAACAATCAAATACGGGAAATATCCGGCCCGTGCGAACCCTGTCATTTAACTGTTTTGCCTTCTTGTGAAGATAGTTGCAAACAGAAACGTTAAACCTGATTAACACCAGAGCCACGCACACTGCGCCGTTATCTCAGTCAGTGCAAATGAGGAAAATAACAGAACTGATTGGATCCTTGGGTGTGAAAGGTTCAGGGGCAAAAAAGAAAGGGCTCGCGGGCCAGATGTGGCCCGTGGGCCGCCTATTGAGTACCGCTGATGTAGATGAACACATACAATTTAAAGCTTTTTTTTTTTATTTAATGTTAGCTCTTCAAGTCATGCAGCATTTGCATTAAAAATGTCATAGAAATTAATGTTACTGAGACACAAATAATTCTGGCTAAAAAGTCAGGAACTGATGATTTTGGTATTTGTGTTAATTTTTTTAATTGATGTTTTGCCATTGTCTTTGTTTGTCATTAAGGGGAGCCCAGAGACCCGTGTGCATGAGGACCTAAAACTGCGCAGCATAATGATCTACTACATTTGCCATGATCCAGATGCTGTAGGAATAATCGAGGGAGTGCCGGTGCTCACTAATCTTGGCAGTCTAGCCAAAGCATGCAGCTTGCTTCTTGGTCTGACATACGCCCTGAACCTCCAATATCCTACCAAACTTGTCAAAACGTTTGAAGTTTTTCAGAGACTTCTTGTGGGTCTTGATACACTCTGCCCAAAACCAAGCTCCAGGTACATGACTGAAAAACAAACTTCTGACCTAGGCAGCCAACTTGAGTGTGGCCCCTACACTTCTGAACAGCAGGTCTGTTGTGTTCGTTCAATATTAAAATGTGTTTGTCAGTGACAAAAGACAATTGTTCCAGATATTGCTCTGGGTTGTCATGTGACAGTTTTTTTAAGCTGAGACGGGTTCTGTTTAAAAGTAGTTTGGATAACACTTAGAAAATTACTTGTTAAATGACTTGTACTTTAAAGTGAATTGTCAAGTATATTAACAACAAAACACTATAAATTTTGAGAGGTTCAGCTATACTTTATGCAAATATGTTCATGTATTTTTCGATCAAAATGCTTCCAGATTTTCAGGTGGAAAATGCTTCATGTTGTCATTGACAGAATGAGTTTTGTGAGCATAGGTCTCACACTGTTCCTGTTTTTACTGTGATGTAAATGTTTTACAGTAATATGTGTATGGCTTGTAAAAATCTACAAAAGTTGTAAGATTTAAAATTTACAAATACTTGTTAGTATTTACTTCAATGCCACTGTTTCAATGATTAAGGAAAAATAAATGTTGAAAGTGGACTATTTACAGCTTCACAGTATTTACCATTATTTACTCTTTACATTTTAAAAACTGTTTCAGTATTGAAAAGTTGAATTAAATCTAAATTTCAATTTTTGGTTTATTTTTTAGAATAACATCAAAGAAAGGTTTCAGTTCATATAAAATAATGAAATTATTAATTTTTCCATAGTCCAAATAGTAAGTTTAACAAACTTTAAAAATTTGTTTGGGAAATGCTGCCTTAATTATTTTTTGAATAATTTAAAACTCACAGGTTTTAGTGTAGAAAAAAGGTGAAATTATTAAGTTGTACCTACTTAAAATAATAGTTAGTTGACCAAACTCAAAAAAATTGTTTGGAAAATGTTGACTTAATTTTTGGAGTAATTTGAAAGACACAGGTTTTAGTGTAGAAAAAAGGTGAAATTATTAAGTTGTACCTACTCATATTGCTGGTTAGTTGACCAAACTTACAAAATTTGTTTGGAAAATGTTGCCTTATTTTTTTTGAGTAATTTTAAAGAAACAGTATTAACAGTGTGGACCTCAAGGGATAAACCATCAATCCTGCCCAATGGTCAACTTTCCTCGCGAGGTCACCCATAAAGACAGTGGGAGGGTTTAAAAGGGGGACCGCAGAATGTGTTCCAACTACAGAGGGATATGGTTTCCATTCTGGCTTTGGAACACTGGACCGGCTCTTTACCCTTAGGGCGTCCTGGAGGGTGTGTGGGAGTTTTCCCAACTAATCTACAAGTGTTTTGTGGATTTGAAGGTGTTCGACCGCATACCTTGGGGGGGCCCTGTGGGGGGTACTTTCGGAGTATGGGGTACAAGGCCCTCTGATACGAGCTGTTAGGTCCCTGCATGACCGGTGTCAGAGCTTGGTACGCATTTCCCACAGTGTCAGGCTCGTTTTCCGTGAGAGTTGGACTCCGCCAAGGCTGCCCTTTGTCACCGATTCTGAAGCTCTTGATTTACTAGTTGATCTACGTTCCTACCCTCATCTATGTTCACAAGCTTTGGGTAGTGACCTAAAGAATGAGACTGCAGATACGAGCGGCCAAAATGAGTTATTTCCACGGTGTCTGGGCTCTCCCATAGAGATGGGGCGAGAAGCTCAGTCATCCGGAAGGGGCTCAGCGGTGTAGACCCGCTGCTCCTCCACATCACGAGTAGCCAGTTGAGGTGGCTCGGGCATCTGGTTAGGATACCCTCTGGTGAGGTATTCTGGGTAAGTCCAACTGGGAGAAGATTCAAGGGAACACCCAGGACACGCTTGAGGGACTATGTCTCTCAGCTGGTCAGGGAAGTCCTTGGGATTCCCTCGGAGCAGCTGGCCGAAGTTGCTAGGGAGGGGAAAGTCGGGGCCTCCCTGCTTAGGCTACTGCCCCCGCGACCCAACCCCGGATAAGTGGACGATAGTGAACGATTAAACAAAGCTTGTTGACATTATCGCTACTATGGCAGGTTTTGGAAAGAGGGGGTGGGGGAACACAATTTAAAGGCAAGTGTGGTGTTGTTAACCACTACAAATAAGAATTTCTGTCTCATTAAAAAAAACTTAGTAAATTTAAAAAATATTTTCCTGTATTGAACTGTGACAGGTAAAAAACTCAATATCATCTTGGAGGACACTGAAAACAATTTGTTGGTTGAAACTGATTTTTCTTTTTGCCTCAGCAGCAAAATGACTTACGCCTCCCTCATCCGTCACAGCGGACAAGGCGGGCCCCATGTAGGCATCGACCTCTCCGGTCTCTGGTAAGGGCTCATTGTAGTCTCTGTAGGCATAGTCGTATTCCTTAAGGCCCACATCTCCAGTCACATACTCCTCAGTGAAGACTTCTTCACCAACATCGCCCGCTTTGGTGGCATCTACCTCCTCTCCCACCAAGGCTGGTTCGACCTGGGGCTACGATGGGTTCAGTAAAGCCGCAATAGGAAGGATACAGAGGTCCGAAAAGGAAGAATTAAACAAGGGAAGAAAAGGATGGAAGAAGCAGTAAGGAGATGAGCAGGATGGAAAGATGTTAGTAAAAGAAGATGAACAGCAACAACAAGAAGGTATGAAAGAAAGGAGCACATTCAAATAAATTAATCTTACCTTTTGCAAATATAATGTGACATTAGGACAAAAAAAGACATGTAGAGCTCAGAGATAGTGCCTAATGTTGATCCAGGCTGACTTTTTCAGATGTGTCCTGTCACTTTAAGTCTTATGTCAATTACTTAATATTCTCTAACAGCAGCAGGTTTTCACCAAAGCCTTTCATTATCGATCCATGAGTATTCATATTTATTTATGAGTTTGAAAATAAAAGTACATTCTAATCAACTTAACTTAGGTTCAAGATATCACAGAAGAGATAAGAACAAACTTTGTGAAAACGGGCTTCTTCTATCTGCTGTACCATGCAAAGCCAAAAACGGTATCTTGCGTCTGTACTTACCATACACGGTATACTACAAATAAAAATCCATTGGGAATATATATTACATTTTCTCAAAAATAAACAGGCAGAATGTAGCACATTCAAAGCCTTTTGAACACAAACATGTTAGATTTTTCTTTTTGTTGTTTTTACCCGAGTAAACATAGCTAAACATTGTAGCATTAAAACGTAATATCAAAATAAATCCAACAAACTAAAAAAATACAAACGTGCTTTATGTTGCAAATGAGCTGTCAGATACCCATCTTATTTCTAAACATAAATACAACGAAGTAACTCATTAACAACTGTGTTCTGTTAAGTACTTTCAAACAAGAATGCATTATATTCATCTGCTTTTGTTTCTGTGGTTAAATATGAACATCAAATACTCACATGTGGACCTGTTTTCCACAAGATTTTTGTTCTCATCTCAAGATGCCAACAATATCAACCAAGATTCTTGAGATGAGAACAAACAGCAAATCTTGTTAGAGAAAAAGAGAACCACATAAAAATATCTGATGATAAACGCAGATGAATGTGGTACATTCTTTTTTAAAACACCTTTTCTCTCACATCTTGTTACAAGGCATCGGTGCCTTTAACAGATTAGTGTGTGTTAGAAGAGTAAAGAGGAACAGAGGTATTACTACTTTGTTAATCTACTTAAGACTGGGCTCACAGTCATACAGGTACACCGTTTTCATTTGATTCAGTTGGTTCAGTTGTATTGGTTAACTTTAGAGATCCTGGATTTTACTAACCTAATCCTATCTTATTCTCTAAGATATGTAAAAGCTAGATTTGATGTGTGTCCGTTTCTTTTTACCTGTACAGGTATTTCTTCTTGTCCAACCACCTCACCGTCTGGCTGTGGGACCATCTCTTCATAGTAATAATCAGTCTCTGTAGGGGTGTGGCCAGCCTCAGAATATTCTGTGTCTACATCCTGATTGGTCAGGTAGACAGGAAGTGGTGAGCAGGGAGGAAGTAAGCAGATTTGATTGAGAGCAGGGTTAGTTTATAATCTGCTTGTAGGTCATGAGTAAAAAAGAAGAAATTGGAAAGCAAAATAAAATTGTGATTGCCAGACAGACACATTTTTGTTTCACTGGCAACTCACAATTTTAAACCTGTAAAAATTAATTTTAGAAAAGAAATTTCAATTAGGCTTGGATTGAATTATCAATGACTTTAAAATTTGCCAGATGCAGAATTTTAACAGTTATTGACTTTTCTCATCTGAAATTTCTTTTCATGCTTTTGTTTAACCATTTTCACTGTTTTAAGCTCACAAGCCAAGTTTCCAAAAAGGGTAAATATCCATCCCTTAAGATGGAAACATTACAGCTTGATGCTTCAGCATGTTTAGTTTCATCCATTGAAGACCAAATAACACAGAAACCAACAGCCTCACAGAACATTAACCAGCAACACATTTAACTTGATCAACTCCTGAACATGGACACATTTTTCACCTTAAAAAAAGATGTCATACTATGTAATGTCATAAAGTTAAGACTCAAAAGTTCTCTAGATTCTGTGAAGCTGTTTTTAAGAAAGACGTTTCTTAACCATAGAAATCCATGCTCATTTGTTTGACCATTACTTTAACTGTTTCCATAAAGAAGAAAAACAGAGTCCTCTAGCTGCTCAGGTTTTAAGATCCAGTTTTAGTATGAGATCAAGTAAAGAACAGTGAAGCCATGCTTCAATGTGCACCGCTGGATCATATCATACAAAGAAGTTGGGAAGGTTGTCAGAATGATAGGATATATGGAAAGATGAGAACGCAGTCAGCTTGTTAGCCTGATTTGAACCAACTTCCAATCTGACATCCAACTTGTGCATCATCAAAATGTGCATGGCTGTCGACCTAAAGCAGGATCAACTAGTCATGAAACACGACAAAAATAAAGAGGCATATAAAGATTTTACTTTGATGATGGTCAAGGCTGATAAACAGACTGGGAAGACGGGACAAACATCTCTGGACATGTTGACCCAAACATGAATCTTCATGTTGTACCTGTTGGGGAATGTCGGTTCTCTTAGCTGGGACCGAAGCTCCCCGCAGTGCAGTCTCACCAAACGGTGGGAAAGGTCTGTGGTGGGACTTAACGTTGTTGTCCATGTCCTTGAACTTTGTGGGTCTGAGCAGCGTAGGTCGAACAGGGGCACGTGTTGGAGCTTCTTTTGTTGGGACAGAAAACTTTTTGGTTGTTGGTTTGATCGGAGGGACTTTGTTGAACACACTTTTAGCCATTGTCTTCTCTTTCAGCTCTGCTTTTTCTTCGATGTTTGCTTTTGGAGATTTGGTGGCAGAAACCTTTGTAGGTTCTGGTTTTGTTATTTTTGTGGGTTTCGGTGCTTTAGTAGCGACTACATTAACAGCTGACTTGGCCGTGCTATCTACAGAGTTCATTTTTGTAGTGGTTTCACTTTTTGCCTTATTTCCAGCCACTTTGCCAACATCTTTCTTTTTGGCTTCTGAAGAAACTTTGTTGTTCCCATTTGCTTTTGCTGCACCATTGACTTTATTTTCAGCTTTGCCATTGACTTCAGTGGTAGATTTGCCATTTCCATTGGCTTTCTTTGTTGTAGTTTTACCTCCGCCATTTCCATTCACCTTAGACCCAACCGTAGCTTTTACATTTCCATTGGTTTTCTTCTCGGCAGAGGCTTTTCCATTAACTTTTGTTTCACCTACAAGCTTCCCATTTTTGGCCTCAGTTTTGGCATTGCCATTACCTTTAGATGCACCACTGGGTTTCTTTGGAGAAGCTGTTTTACCATTGCCATTCTTAACTGGGACAGCTGTGGTTTTGGATTTAGTTGCTGTTGTTGGTTTGATCTTTGACAAGAAGATGCCTGCAGCAGTGGGTTTAGCTTTGGATGGCTTAGCTGTGGAGGACTTGATAGCTTTGGTGGGCATGGGTGGCTTGACGACCAGTTTGTAAGGTCCAGACTTGGCTGACTTAGCTGGAGTGGGTTTAGTTGATTTAGTGGGAGCTGCTTTCCCACTGGGTGCCTTCTTCTAATATCCACGATTATAATGTTTAGTATGAAGAAGTGCATAGACAAAAAACATAGAGAGGGTAGAAAATGACAAAGATACACAGAGGGATTGGGAGGGAGATGAAAAGCACAAACAAGGGATTGACAGAAAGAGAAAAAGACAAGAGTGGATGTTTTGAGACACAGTGACATAAAGATGGCTAAGGCTTGGACGATTTGCTGAGACTGTGCAGGCATTAATGGATACAGCAGAAGATCAGGTTTTAAAATACATCTAAAATAAACAATATTATGAAAAACAAACCTATAATGCACAATAAACAATACAATTTCATTACTTTGACTTAAGTTCTAAACTGGTATTTTTGCTGTTCTCTCCAGTAATGCCATTCCCACTGTCACATGATAAAGCAGCATCTTTGTTCAGTTAGGAACTGGGCACCATGGTTTAGTAGAGGCACTGAGGATGTGAATGGTCAGGTAAAGGTGGCTGTTTAACACACACACACACACACACACACTAGTCACACAACACAAAAATCTCACACATTATTGACCTGTTGGGTAATAAAGCATGAAAAACAGAAAAGGTTCCAGCTGTTCAGCCATGCAAAAGAAACAACTCAGAAGACATGCAAACACGTGCTTTATAAAATGATAAAATGTGGGATAAAAGACCATACACAGGTATTTTTTGTAAATCATGCCACTACTAATAATAAGATAATATAGTTTAAGATCTAAACAAGCTTTCAAGGTGAACTGACAACCCATAGATGTAATACAGCACCAATGGATTTTTAAACTAGTATATAAGCATTCACAGTCCATCATACAAACCTTTGATGTAAAACTAGGCATTGAATATATCTCTATTTTGAAATCTATAAAAAAGATAATCAGATGATGCAAAACTAAAGTAAGTGCATGCGGTGTTCTTAAATCTCCGTCACAAACATGCAAGTAGCAGGACAATAAGGATCCTTCATTAAACAATCGTGCAAAATTAAGAACCCAAACAGAATACGTTTATTTTAAAATAACATGCAAGGAAAGCAATTAAAAATGTATGAAACACCAGAAAGAATCAGAAAACCAAAAGTATTAGTGTCTTCTTGTGTGGTTATGAAATGGTATTTATGTATAATGTAAAAAGGAAGATCAAATAACTCAGGTTTTCTAAACTTAGTTGTATTTGCATATTCTCTTTTTATATTACATTATATGATGGAAACTTTAATTATATTTTCTCAGAAATTTAATTTCAAAGACTTTTAGTTTAGGTCTAAATTGTAAAAGAACAAAATAAAATAGTTGGACAAATTACTTCTACAAGAGGGAGTAATAAAAAAACATAGAAAGTGTGTGTGTGTGTGTGTGTGTGTGTGTGTGTGTGTGTGTGTGTGTGTGTGTGTGTGTGTGTGTGTGTGTGTGTGTGTGTGTGTGTGTGTGTGTGTGTGTGTGTGAGACACAGCTGGACCTTCAGTTCCCCAGTGCCCTCACATGGCCACGTGTGAACACACATACTTAAAAGACAACATGTGGATGACATAAGGACAAAAATATCACAAGGCGCAAAAGTAATCCTGTGTGACACAAGTAGATGAAATAAGGCGAATGTGTAGGAGATCATTCTTAATGAGGAAATGAGACATTAAATAAAAGGGAAGTATGAAGTGATGAGAGGCTTTCAGAAGTTAAATTTAAACAACTTTTATAAACATTTCCAAAGAATTTTTTTCAGCAATTTTGATAACTTGAATTATATTTAAATGATCAGAATGTGTTTTTGTTTGAATGCTCCTCTCATTCTCTCATTGCCCTTCCCTTCCACAAACCCAACTAGTGTCTTCCCTCTCTCTTGCTCCCACTTTACCTGCTGCTTGTGGTCCCCTGGTTGGGGAGAGGGGGATGAAGATGAGGAGGGAAGGCCTGTGGTTTCCTCATAATAATATGGATATTCATGGTCATCCTGCTCCTCATCAAAGTACCAAAAAGAAAGAAAAGGTGGAGGTTTTGTTTGGTTGTAAGCAAACAACCAAAGCAGTGGGTTGAATGGGGCAGGAGGATTCATGAAAGCAGGTGAAAAGCAGAAAGAATGAGAGACTGCAAAGGCCAAAGGTGAAAGACCAAAGTCATGTGTTGAAAGACTGCACCAGACAACAAAATAGACAGACACAAATTAAAGCTGTAATTTCTCAGTTCATCAGAGTCTGCACAAGTAGCTTATAGGTGTTGACAAAAAGATGTCAGCAGAAAATCAACCCTGATGAAAGAGAAAATCATAAACAAACAAAGCCAATGAATATAACCACACTAACTTATATTCATTCAAGAAGCAGTCATCTCAACAGATTCAACATGACAGAGTAAGAGTCCTCTAGCAACCAAACGTTTATACTGGGTGTTTCTCAATGTCAAGGCGCCTGGCCTTGCGAGGCGATGTCTTGCGAGGGCAGGCGCCTTACTTACGAGGACGCTGCCCTTCCTTGGTCAAAGAAAACGGTTAAATGGAACACAGTGTTTCCCTTACATAGGCGTAGCCGTGGCAGCCTGCCATGGCTGAAATCCCAGCGCCACGCCAACAAGATCCCAAGTTTTATTGAAATTTTTTTGCGCTGTTTCCCAAAGAAGCAGCGGGAACTACTCTGTTGTTGCTTGTGATCACAGCCGGCAGGCAGCAAGGAGGAGGAGGCAGGGCAGGGTGGTTACAGCTAGGGATGAGCCGGATCCGGTATGCTCTAAGTGTTTTTCTCCCCAGAAGAAGCTACAGTGATGTTCTACTGAGCTGTGGTGGCCTCATGGAGGGGGCCATCGTCTAGCACACTGCTGCTAACCACTTAAACATTCTCCCTCTCCTGATGATAACTTTTTGCTTTCCTTGACGTTGGATGTGCTACTACTAGTTTACCCGTTTAATTATAGATTCACTAGGATAAATACAATGAAGTTTATCTCTCACCAAATAGAATATTTACTAAGAAATCACAATGTAACCATAGACACATCATTGTGTGTGTGTGTGTGTGTGTGTGTGTGTGTGTGTGTGTGTGTGTGTGTGTGTGTGTGTGTGTGTGTGTGTGTGTGTGTGTGTGTGTGTGCGCGCGTCTGCTCTGTCTTCTCGATCCCCAGTGAGTTATGGTGGATGGCTGCTTATACTGAGCCAGGATTCTCTGGAGGTTTCTTCCTGTTAAAAGGGAGTTTTCCTCTCCACTGTCGCTATATGCTTGCTTAGTATGAGGATTGCTGTATAGTCACTGACACTAGTCAGTGACTTGATGCAATTTGCTGGGTTCCTTATACAGGAAACATTTTTTCTGATTGGCTTAATGAACTGACCTGGATTGGAATGTTTATTATGTGAAGAGCCTTGAGACGACTCTTGTCGTGATTTGGCGCTTTATAAATAAAATTGAATTGAATTGAATTGAATAAAGCATTTTTGACGAATACGAGCATTAAACAAGTAAAACTCGTAAAAATCTGTAACCGTGCTGAAGGAAAATCCTGATTGGGTAACTGACGGTCTTCACGCTCTGTGATTGGCCAGTCACATCGAGCGCCCGCCCCTCCTTACACACAAAACTCTACGGCTGGGAGCTCAGTCCAGCCCAAACATCCACGCACGCACACAGACAACGGATCTCTCTGCGCTTGCTTCACTGTTGCACACGTTTCTTCAGAACTCCCTAGGTTTTCTTCAGCTCGCCTCTTTTTCGGTTGAATATTTAAAGCTACGTTTTTTGTAACGTACGTGGTGCATTTGACAAGACAGAGCTAAAAACGGATTGTGTCGCGTCAGTCACTGCCTCCGCTCCGGTCGGGTTTTTTAAATTTGAACTCTCTCTCTCTCTCTCTCTTACACACACACACACACACACACACACACACACACACACACACCTTAATAAACATTGTTTTGTTTAACTGTGTGTGGGAAAAATGCTAACAACGTTAGGAAAAAATCAGTTTAATCAAATTAAAATAAAAACAAAATTAAAAAGCTGTGTCTGGTTCTAGTATTTCATATTTCCTAGTTCCTACTGCATGAGTTCAGATGTATTAATTCATGCACTTAAATATTAATGTTCTTATTTAATTGAAAAACTTGTTCTGTAATAGTTCCTTTACTATTGTGATCAAAAATGTTTAATCTCAATTCTGAGGCTGCTCTGTAAACTCTGTAAATAGTTTTTAAATAAACAACAGCTTATAAATAAACAACTTCTGATCAATCCATATCAATTTCAGATTTAAAATAATGTATTGATGTATACCACACCCACTAATTTCCAAATTATAAATAAGAGGTGCATTCATCGGTGTATGTCCTTTGATCCGCATTAGTGATATTTTCAGCACCAGAACAATGAAGCAAAGAAACACGATTCCTGAGTTTGTTAGTCATTTTATTTATTAGGTGCATCTAACCTGTTCTGTTTTTCTCTGAAATGAGATCAAATCAGTGCTTCTATGGGTTGTTTCCTCTCTGCACTAGAAAAATGTACTTTATTACAATGTTCACTGTAATGCATGTTGATGTGCTTAACAAATAAATTAAATCAAAGGTATTGGTCAATAATGCCAAATATGTAAATTTGTGTTTCAGTCATTTTTATACTGGCTTAAAAATACTTCATTAAGTCTACTAAGCAGGGGTGTAGAAGGTTTTTAAGAGGGCCAGCCCATTAATGATCTTGGACCAAAATACAGGGGGCAGAAATTCAAATAAAGGGGGCAGAAGGAGATGTTTTTCCCGACACCAAGAAAAATTAAATGCCAAATCCCCCCTGCAAAGTGTGTCACAGAGTTTAAAACAAAAATTATTCTTGTGCAAATATTGGTGTATTCACCTTTAATACTAGTTATTAAAATGCAGCAGTTGCTGGATTGGTGCAGTTCAAAGTGGAGTGCATCAAATAAAACAATATTAACATAAAGGTGAGACGTGTCATAATTTCACCCCTCCCACCACAGCTGGAAAAATTCCTAGGGGAAAGACTAGAAAAGACTTGCATCACGTGACCGTGATAATTAAAAATATAAGTGAGTTACTACCCGCTAGCCACCGAAGCTGCAACTACTAAGCAACTAACCAACCATAGATAACTTCTTTGGATCTAAAAAAAAACATTTTAAATTAGCGGACTTACTTTTAAATTTGAAAATTTTCCCCGAAGTAGCTGCCGGCTTCTGGTCCGCTGTCTTTTTGAAAATGCAGCGGTGTATTGTGGGCAATTTTTGACCAAAGCTAGGCTACAAGACACCTCCCGTGTATCCTGTTCAGCTAGCGGCTAACAAACGGAGAACACACGCCTCGGTAGAACATGAACATTGGAACACGTCTTGGCGGCCGTTGATCAAATCAAATCAAATCAAAGATACTTTATTAATCCCAGAGGGAAATTAGAGTTTCAGTACACACAGTTCAAAGAATTGGTGACTGTGGTCATTCGCAACCCTGAGTCGCGCTACCTTTCAATCTCCTAGGCAACTGGGGCGGGGCCAAGACATCAAGGCAAGGTTCCTTGGCATTGAGAAACACCCACTGATTCAGACCAGGCATGCAAGCTTGGAAACATGTATTTTGAATGAATGAATGAATGAATGAATGCAGATGAAATTTATTTGTTTACATAAATCTGTGATAATGACGATGAGGAATGTCGACTCTGGGAAAAGCTTGCAAAGCCTATTATGCATGTGATGTGCACAATCAGTCTCAGAAGACCCCTCCTACATCAAACTTTAGCCAAATTTTATGTCACAACTTTACCAGAATAATCATCTGAATTTAATTTCCATAAATTATGTGTTCAGCTGGTTCTCTTCATTTCAATCTATCAGAATAAAACAAGGAGGGGTTCATGTTTTATTGTATCATCCTTTTCCCCTACCTTTCTGTGTTCCATTGCAGTAGAGCGGGAAACAGTGACAGCTAGTCCACTACTGAAAGTGTGTATCGTGATTAAAATGTCCATTATAGTGGGAAAAGTTTTGTAAGGAACATGACTATCCGGCTTTTCTAAATATCAGGAGCAAGCTTGTTTATGTGCAATATTTCAGTGATTACAATCTCAGATGATGTAATCACTGAAATATTGCACATAAATTCCCACTGCATGTTGGCAGTGTGCAGGAGTACTGTTCTGCCTCTTTGGATCTAGCTCGATCTGCATCTATTTGAAGTAAACGATGAGCAACATAAGTTTATTCTAAATACCACAGGACACACAGATTGTGATGGTGAGGGGAAAATCGGATGGATACAACCTGTTGCTGCTGATGAGACGAGGATGCACGAGGAAGACAGAAAGGGTGAGCAGGACTTTGATGATGTTATCAGATGACCCAATCTGAGCCTGAGGACCTTTTAACCAGCCTGTCCATCTGCTGAAGCTTTGTTACTAAATATAGTTAATGATAAATAAAAAATCTAAACAATTTTCCTTTAAAAGGGTAAAAGGAAAACGGCTACATTACAAAGAATTTTTTTTTTTTTTTTGTAATGGGAAACGTGAGTAAAAACCACTGGACCACACCACCAGTGGCAAAAAAGTGAATAGGTCTACGCTGTTGGGTGGCCTCTGGTATTTTGTTGGATTTCTAACTTATTGTAAATATTTCTCTTCTTTTTTTTCCCCTGATCTTCCCTGGGGCCACACAGGGGGCATCAGCGGCGCTGAACAGCAGCAGAACATTGCAAATTCAAATATAATCCATACAGTCTATGGGTTTGATCCAAACTGGCAATGGCACCCAACTTTTCAGGTGGTGGTGTGCTGCTAAATGCATGACAGGGTTATATTTTAGCCGTGGGCCGCTTTTTGGGATGCATCAATTTCAGCAAATAACACAGGGCTAGACAGGAACTCACACTTGGTATCAGTGTAATACGTCCGGTAATTTTCAAAATAAAAGCCTATTGCAGAGATGTGCTTTCTTATCTATGTAGATAAGATAACATCTATACGTGTGATCTCACGGCTTATTTAGTCCCAGTATCTTTCAAGAAGCGCAACAGCGTGTTTTTCTTCATGGATGTGATGTCCATTTTCCTCTTCCTGCTTTAATGGTGAATTAAGTGTTGAGGGATTTGATGACTTCACAAGTCCAGCAAGGAGGACGTTAGAGATGCTGCATCGCTTGCAGTGTGGATTAACGCACCTAGTAAAAAAAAACGTCTTGCTGCAGTTTTGTGCCGCTGATGCCCCCGGTGTGGACCCAGGGTTACGCTACAAAAGCGGCCATTTATTTTCAAGGGAAAAAGGTTTATTAAAAAAAATCCAATCTAGATGCAGTTAATTTTTGTCCTTACATTACTTTGTCATTCAAGTCTATGGAGAACATGACCCTTGTAAATAAAGTCCCCAGACTCTTATTGGGTCAGCTTTACTGGAGCTATAAATGAGCCTAAAATTAAAAGTGTACAGCGTACAATATCTGTCTGAGGATTTTTACTTTAGGTCAAATTACTCATTTGTCTTGCTAGTTCTAATTAGATTTCCATGTGGCTGTGTGACATTTTGTAACTACATAAATGTCGATCGAATTTGGGAAGAATAATGGTTATTCGAGCTATTCTACCTTGGTGAAACTTATATTTGCATGGACTTGTTCTGTGGTGTTACTCACGTATGTGTTTGGGTCCTCAGCCTGGGTCTTGGGAAGAGGGGAGTCACAGTCAGGACTGTAGTGTTCACAGAAGTCATAGGCCGCCTGAGGGTTGGAGGCAATTAACAGCTGCTGGATGTCTCCCTGTAAAACAAACAAAAACAATTATAATTTATTGATGATCTCAGACTCAACAGAAATGTTTAATCTTTGTAGAACCAGTGGAAGTGCTTTCAGTCACCTAACAATAAGGTTTACTTTCTCAAGATTCTGACCTGGAAAACCTCCTCATCAAGCAGACGAGCTCCAAACACTGTGATGCCATTGGTGTCAATCACAGCATTGTTGCCCCGGGGAAGAGGACGGGTCATCTTCTTCTTGCAGTCCAACAGCAGAGTCACGTTTTTCTTGGAAACGGAGAAGGCAATGCGATGCCACCTAGTGACAGAAGAAGAATCCGTGAGCAAACATTTATGTCAAATAAAGAATAAAGAAACCAACCATCTCCTACATCATGCAGATCATACTATTCCTAACCACCACCACCCACATAACCACAAATAACTCATCTCAACCAGTCACAAACTGGTGTTGCTGGTTACTGACTTGCCATCAGCCAGGTTGATGCCTTTGAAAAGCGGGTAGTCCTCAGGAGCTGGCTTTCCATTCTGGTCTTCGTACAGAAAAACAGGCGAGCGTCCCATTTCAATGCCCAGTTGCTGAATGCCCTGCTCACTGTAGATAGAGAGGAGGAAAGCTTGGAGACCAGCCTGGGCCTTTATCAGAGCCATGATGGAGAAGTTCTCTGGGAAACGCCCTAAAGGTGGAAGGAAAGATAAAAAACTTAATAAATATTAGCAGAAAAGGTAGAAATGCCCCAATAAAAAGATTTAATAAATCATATAAATGTGCCCTTTAGAAAAAAGTGTGTTTAGATTACCCATACCCTGTGTATAAAATATAGTGGCTCTCTGGTGCTGTGAATAAGTGACTATAGTGAATACTTGAATAAGGGAAATAAAATAGAAAGAACTGATCAAAGATACAGGTAACATCTAAATGAGAAGTGATAGTTCACAAAAAAGTAGACAAGACACTAGGAGCTGTGTTTGGTGGCACTGCTGAAAATAAAGCAATGAGAGAAATTCACCCACACTAAAATGCATCAGAACGAATCAAGATGTGAGCTAATAATAACAGGCTGTACAAAAAAATAACAAACATAAAAAGAGGTGGAAATCATTTTGTACTTAAGAGGATTTTACTTAACATAAGTGAGGCTTTTTATTTTCTAGTCACAAGTGCAGAATCACATAATTGTACATAAAACAAATCAGAACAAAGCACAAACTTTCTCTCTGAAATTTAAAAGGCTTCAAAATTAATTCAAAGCTAAGCTAGTTAGCAAGCTGCAATAATTACGTTTCACATTATAAAACAATCAATCAAATCAAATGTACGTTATTAATCCCAGAGGGAAATTAAGAGTATTCAAAATACTCTAGCCTCGAATTTATAAGCAAACCTTTGCTTCACAAAACAAACGTTCATCGTATCTTTCATCTAAATATATCATCATCATCAAAACTTACATGAATATATTAATGGGAGAAATCAGGACAAAGAAGGCGGAAAGTCGTTTAGCGATAGATAGCTAACATTAGCTGCTCGTTAGCTAGCTAGAAAGCATAAATGTTTGTATTCGCTACTATTTCCTGTCCTTTACTTAATATTACGCAGTTACTCACGGTAAAACAACAAAATAAATGTTAAAAAACCGCCAACTATCTATTATGACAAATATCTTGGCTTGTATCGGTGCCCATAAAAGCTAGCTTAGCCCTAGCCTGAAGTTGTCCTGAAGGTCACGTGCGCTTCCTCTGAAGTTCAACCAACGAATGAATGATTGATTGAATGAATGAGGCGTTTTGATAAGATGTTTTTCATAATTCTTCTTACAAAAAAGTAAAGCATTACTGCACGTCTTAATGTTTATAAATATTAAATAACTTTTATTTTGACTAAAAAAATTTTACTTAACAAAATTTCACATTTCAACTGGAATAGCCAGGTAATTTATGTGTTTTTCTATTTGTCATCCGTTCATATAAAGCATAAAGATTTGTTTCTATGACATTTTATGAGATTCACTACTTTTTCCACTATAAAAATAAAAATTCCAAAAAAAATTTACTATTAGAAAAAATGAAGAAAAAAAACATCAATTTAGTACCTCTTTTTGTGAAATCATGAAACCTATATTAAAACATGACTTAGTATATAAAAATAAATATCTTTATTGTGAAGCAGTCACCTTAAATACTATGCATCAGTCTGAGAACTACCTGAGAAGAGCTGCTTGGTGGGGGCAGAGATCTGGGCCTTCTTGGTGATGCGGTAAGCATGATCAGGGCTGCTGGAGCGACGGGATGTGCAGAAGCCAGGGACTTTCTTCACACCCTCGGGGAGAGAGGGAACCTGCAGAGCCCGCAGCACATCAACTGGATCTGATAAAAGAGAAACAAGTGAAGAAATTAATTTTATTGCTAAATAAACAAACAATGAACACTTTATCAAATGTTATGTAGCTTAAACTTGACGTACAATTACAATTTCATATCATACATACCATTAAGCAAGCTATTTAGTAGTTTGATGAATAATGCAGCTATTGTTTCCAACAAATTTACAGCTCTACTGACCCTGCTTTTAATAAAGTTGATGTTAAATGTTTCAGCTGTACTAATGTGATACGGGATGTAGTATAGGAGGTGTTCACTGAACATTTAGGTAAACTATAAGAAAGGATGCTCTGTGCTGGAGGAGATGGGCAACAGTCCAACCACCATTTATGAGCGAGTGCACGGTGGGCACAGCAAAGCTCAGCTTCGATCTGAATGAAGACGATCTCGTCTGTTAGCAGCTGGGACGAGTGGCTGTTGATGTGATAAAGTACTGAGTCAAATTAATATTTATTTGGTATCACAGTCATGTTACTATTCATATGACATAAATATGGGATCTAAAATGTTGAAATCCACACAAACTCCTGTGATGCTCTAATATAACACTAATACAGAGTTAGACAGTGAGCCAGTCTATCATCCTGTCACACACTAAACTAGTTTGCTTACCCACCTCCAGTCTGAGCTGCAGCCTCCTGACACACTTCAAATAAACAATACTGACTCTTTAAAAAGACAAATTTTATTTACACACAAGTGCTGACATAAAACAAATCATGCATCTCAGAACTAACTTGAACACACATTCCCATATTAACGCCGTTTTTTAAATAATTGCTCAATCTAACATGAATAGTTTCATCAGTATCTCTTCATGGCTACTCTGCCCTGCTGTCTAGGAACATCACTAATAACTAAAGCAAAATCAACAAAGGTTTAAAAACCAAACACTGGCATGCATTACAAAAGTTTGACTTAGGTCGTCGTCGTCTTCCTCCGCTTATCCGGGTCCGGGTCCGGGTCCGGGTCGCGGGGGCAACATCCCAACTAGGGAGCTCCAGACCGTCCTCTCCCCGGCCTTCTCCACCAGCTCCTCCGGCAGGACCCCAAGGCGTTCCCGGACCAGATTGGAGATGTAACCTCTCCAACGTGTCCTGGGTCGACCCGGGGGCTCCTGCCGGCAGGACATGCCAGAAACACCTCCCCAGGGAGGCGTCCAGGAGGCATCCTGACCAGATGCCCAAACCACCTCAACTGACTCCTTTCGATCCGGAGGAGCAGCGGTTCTACTCCGAGTCCCTCCCGAATGTCCGAGCTCCTCACCCTATCTCTAAGGCTGAGTCCGGCCACCCTACGGAGGAAACTCATTTTGGCCGCTTGTATTCGCGATCTTGTTCTTTCGGTCATTACCCAAAGCTCATGACCATAGGTGAGGATTGGGACGTAGATCGACCGGTAAATCGAGAGCCTGGCTTCCTAGCCCAGCTCCTTCTTCACCACAACAGATCGGCTCAGCGTCCGCATCACTGCAGATGCCGAACCAATCCGCCTGTCGATCTCCCGATCCCTCCTACCCTCACTCGTGAACAAGAACCCAAGATACTTAAACTCCTCCACTTGAGGTAGGACCTCTCTCCCGACCCGGAGTTGGCAAGCCACCCTTTTTCGTTCGAGAACCATGGTCTCAGATTTGGAGGTGCCGATCCTCATCCCAGCCGCTTCACACTCGGCCGTGAACCTACCCAGCAAGAGCTGAAGGTCAGAACTGGATGTAGCTAGGAGGACCACATCATCTGCAAAAAGCAGAGACGAGATTCTCCTGACACCAAACTCGACACACTCCATCCCACCCTGCACCTAGAAATTCTGTCCATATAGGTAATGAACAGAACCGGTGACAAAGGGCAGCCCTGGTGGAGTCCAACCCTCACCGGGAACAGGTCCGACTTACTACCGGCTATGCGGACCAAACTCACGCTCCTCTGGAAAAGGGACTGAATGGCCCTTAACAGAAAGCCACCCACCCCATACTCCTGGAGCGTCCCCCACAGGGTGCCCCTGGGGACACGGTCATAAGCCTTCTCCAAATCCACAAAACACATGTGGATTGGTTGGGCAAACTCCCATGCCCCCTCCATCACCCTTGCAAGGCTATAGAGCTGGTCCACAGTTCCACGGCCAGGACGAAAACCACATTGCTCCTCCTCAATCTGAAATTCAACTATCGATCGGACCCTCCTCTCCAGTACCTTGGAGTAGACCTTTCCAGGGAGGCTGAGGAGTGTGATCCCCCTATAGTTGGAACACACCCTCAGGTCACCCGTCTTAAAGATGGGGACCACCACCCCGGTCTGCCACTCCACAGGAACTGCTCCCGATGACCACGCAATGTTGCAGAGACGTGTCAACCATGACAGCCCTACAACATCCATAGCCTTGAGATACCCAGGACGAACCTCATCCGCCCCCGGGGCTCCGCCGCTGTGTAGTTGTTTGACTACCTCAGCAACTTCTGCCCCCGAGATTGGACAGTCCATCCCCAGGTCTCCCGGCTCTGGTTCCTCCTCGGAATGCGCGTAGGTGGGATTCCACCACCTTCCACCACCCGACTGTAGCCCCAGTTGACGTCAGCAGCTCCCCATCCCCACTGTAAACACTGTGAGCGAGTTGCTGCCTTCCTCTCCTGACAGTTTGCCAGAACCTCTTTGGAGCCGATCGATAGTCTTTCTCCATGGCCTCACCAAACTCCTCCCACGCCCGAGATTTTTCCTCGGCAACTGCCACTGCTGCACCCCGCTTGGCTATCCGGTACCTGTCTGCTGCCGCAGGAGATCCACAGACCAGCCACGCCCTGTAGGCCTCCTTCTTCAGCCTGACGGCTCCCCGAACCTCTGGTGTCCACCAGCGGGTACGGGGGTTGCCACCACGACTGACACCGGCCACCTTGCAACCACAGCTAGCAATAGCCGCCTCAACAATCGCAGAGTGGAACAAGGCCCACTCGGATTCGATGACCCCCCACTGCTCTTGGGACGCGGTCAACGCTCTGCCGGTGGTGGGAGTTGAAGACCGTCTTAACAGGTTCTTCTGCCAGGCGTTCCCAGCAGACCCTCACTATGCGTTTGGGTCTGCCAGGTCTACGCAGCATCTTCCCCTGCCATCTGATCCAACTCACCACCAGGTGGTCAGTTGACAGCTCCTCTCTTCACTTGAGTGTCCAAAACATACGGCCACAGGTCAGATGATACGACTACAAAGTCTATCATCAACCTGCGACCTAGGCTGCCCTGGTACCAAGTGTACCGATGGGCATCCTTATGTTCGAACATGGTGTTCGTTATGGGCAAACTGCAGCTTGCACAGAAATCCAATAACGAAACACCACTTGAGTTCAGATCAGACGGGCCGTTCCTCCCAATCACACCCCTCCAGGTCATGCTGTCATTGCCCACGTGAGCATTGAAGTCCCCCAGCAGCTCTAACCACTGTGCCACTGCGCAGCCACTAAATCTAATTATCCCAGTTAAACCAGTTACGGACAGGTTTAAAGTGAGGCAGCCATAGAACTAAAACAGGAACCTGTATTCACATTTTCCCAGTTTTCCTCCGTCGGTCTGTGTTCGAGCTGCAGCAGAGAGCCAGTTTAGTTTTTAACAGTCAATTAAATCCATTTGCAGCCAGCCCTGCTGCGGCACTCCCCATAATAAACTTACAGGGTCACTGATGCTTTTCTCTGGTTAAATCAATGCAAGATCTAAAGCCACAATAATAAACTCTAGTGCCCCAAAAAGCTAAATATTTATATAGAAATGAAGTAATTTGACCTTGAGATGTGTAAAATCACAGCTAGCACAGCTGTTAGGGACCCCCTTTACCACCGAGGACACTGCTGGGTTAAGTATAACAAACTCTTGTAGAAAGTCAGAAAGTTAAAAGTGAAAATCCACCAAACTTATTTTAGCTACAAAACTTAACTCAGGATTTCTTCACTTAAGCAGATTCTGAAAAAAAGAGTTGAATCCACCTGCAACCCTGACAATAAAAGATGGATGAACGTAGTAATGCTATAACATCGGATGGAGTGAACATTTTACAGGAAAATAGGATAAAATTTGATGTGATGTTTCCTTGTTTTTGTTCTCATTTCCTGCAAATCCCTTCAGAGGTGCTTATGTTTGGGTAACCCCCAGTGTTTCAGAGCTAACAGTTATTCAGATGGGTCTGCAGATGATAATATTTACCCAGAGAGGCCAAATGGTGCATTCATATGGGTGCCTAGACCTCCGCCAAATGTAACTCTACACCAGAGAGAAAAGGGGAGAGAAGCATCAGCGAGGGGAAGCAGGTAGGGGGAAAGGGGAGGGTGCAAGATGAAGATATTAAAATTATGCAGGTAAAATGGGTAATGTGAGTTTAAATGAACAAGCTCACGCAGAAATGTGAGAAAAGGTTGTCTGAATGGGTTTTTTAACAGAAGACTTGGTAGAGAGTGTGGAGTTATGATCAATGGAGATTTTATGTCGATTTAAGATCTGTTTTGAAACAGAATTTTTAAGAATTTTGCAGATTTAGAAGAGAACATTATGTCTGAAGCATGGAAGGAAGTGTGTGTGCGTGCGTGTGTGTGTGTGTGCTTGCGTGCGCGCGTGCGTGTGTGTGTGCTGGGGTGGGAAGGTTTGTGGAAGGTTTCAGAAATATCTGAATAAAGCCATTAAATAAATGAAATGTGCTCACATTTAATTTAAACAGATTCTAACATTTTATTTGTTCATTAAGGTTTATTCTCATTCAGCTGAGCTATTAATAAAAATAGCTTTAAAAGGTAAAGCTAAATTATGATGTGTTGGTGAATAATAGAACACTAAACTATGGGATTAGCTTAATGAACTGACCTGTACCGGAATGTTTGCAGTGTGAAGTGCCTTGAGACGACTCTTGTCGTGATTTGGCGCAATAGAAATAAACTTGGATTGAATTGGGGTCAGTGAGACTTTAAACAATGTTTTCATGACTGAAGTTATCTCAGAGCTGTTCTCCAGACAACACCAGCCACATAACAACATTTACACATGGAGGCAGGTTCCTTATAAAAGGAGAAACTACTAAAGTTTGATGTTTATTTAACTGAAATTCGTCAAAATGACCGCTAGATGGCAGTAAAACTGATTTAATTAACCCTTGTTGCATGGAAGGTTGCAGCCACACACACACACACACACACACACACACACACACACACACACACACACACACACACACACACACACACACACGATGCTTCCGGTTAAATGACAAAAGTGTAAATTTAATAGCAAGAACAT